CGAAATCTTCGCGGATGACACAGCCCTGCTAGCAGCAAATAATGATCCAGCAGTAGCATCACATCATCTTCAATATCACTTAAACCTCCTCCAGCAATGATATAGCAAATGGCGGGAGGAGAGGGAGGGGGGAAGACAAAATCAGTGCAAATTACATTCACCACGCATAACTTGTCCGCAAGTTACCATCAATAATATGCAAATAACGATTCTAATGGAAGTAAAATATTTGGGGCTATACCTCGACCGAAAACTGACATGGCAGAAGAACGTCAGAACTTAAATTTAAAACTACAAGAAATGTCCTGGCTTTTGGCCCTTAAATCCAAGCTATCCATAGAAAATAATCTCCTACTATATAAGTGCATAATAGAACCCACATGGACATATGGTATGCAGCCACGGGGCTATATGAGTTGATTGTAAATATGCTATTAGATACATAAATAAATAAAATACATATTACAAATAACATGGGCCGTGACATAACTCAGGTGGTTAGTCACCGACTTCCCACCGCGGCGGCCGGTTACGAGCCCGGGTCAAATCATGTGGGACTTATCGTGGACAAAATGACACTGGTGTAGGTTTTCTCCAAGTACTTCTGTTTGCCCTGCCAATTCACATTCCACAGTCACCATCGTCTGTCATCTGGGGCTAGTACAGGAGGTCAGCGGTGGCAGCAGTACCAAGCGGACTCAGTCTCACACCACGAGAAAATAAATAAATAAGAAATTCAGATAACATCCAGGGCTTGGCATCGAAGGCGACACTACAGAATTTCAACTGATATATTATAACAAACTTTTCAAACACTTATTTTTGCGAACATATAATTTTAAATGTAACTTCAAATGTTAATGTGGAATATGGACGTGTGACACATAATGAAGCATTAGTAGAACAATTTTAGCAGCACTCACATATACCTGATTATGGCCGAATAGACGTAAGGCTGAAGTATGTCATAGTACGTTATAATGTATATGAGACAAAAAATACACATATACTGGTATGTAAAAACTGTGACATTACTGCAACAGGATGCAAGACATTTTCTTTCTGGGAATGGAAGAATTAATAGTACTCAGAGGGGAGTTGTTTATATTTCTGTCTTTTAGATACATTCTTGATATCTTTCTACATTACCTATGTTGTCATACACGCCTGAATAAGCACTGATACTACATAAGTAGTATCAAAATACTGATAGCATCGAGAAAACCCACTTCTGCCAAGTGATAAAAGGACTGTTATAAACACACGACAAAATTTGATGGTAAAATACTATTATCTGCAAGTACACGACTTGGAAGGGGCTTTTTAAGTTTAGTCCCATTCTGAGTCTTCTCTCGGGGATTTCTAGCCAGAAACTCGGGTTTCCTGTCCTCCCTATACCTTCTTGTCGCCTTCCTCTTTTTTTTTCTGTGGTCGCTCCTTACCAACGTCTTTTCCCTTCTCTTTAGATATCCTAAGTCTTATTATTCATATTATTATGGTGTACCAAAAATACATTGATTGCACCCACATCCAATATGCTATGAAACACGATCATTCACCAACGCCGAGTGCTTCTTCTGCAGCTGTACATTGCACATATTTCGTCCACTACATCAGCACCTCATTAGGTCACGTCATAGAGAGTTGTGATCTCGGGCTTCCTGACATCTCCTGAGTTGCTGTCAATCTTGTCATCATTATGTAATGTTAAGATCAGCAATAGTTCTTCCTCTCTTTAAGTATGTATGACACTAATGAAAATTTTTCTTTAAATTCGAATAGATTAGTATTCTTTTCTTTTCCCTTCATAAGGAGAAAATTCGGATGAATCTGCTATCTGCTCTTACGAAGGAAACGCGCTATATTCAATCTGTGACCTGCCTGCATTTTTGCTGCTAGTGTGAAACTAGGAAACCATATATATATAAAGCAAATATAATATGGGTGTCAACCAAAAATGTGCATAAAACAACTAGTTTACGAAACAGAAAACGCCATCAGACAGGTAAAGAACATTAATCAACAAGAAGCAATTAGATACTTAGCGACTAAACACATACAGCAAATCGCGTCAAAACAGAAGAGTAAACAAAGAATACAAGGAACAAACACGCACGACCAAACAAATACAACAATTTAACACAACACAAACCAACCATAACAGAAGCCGACAAAAGGAAAACTCTGGTCATTATTTATAAACAAGACCTGAACGGTAAAGTCAGCTCTTTTATGGATAACAATAACATAATCGAACTAAAAACAGATCCTACCCAAAAATTTCAAAGAATAGTACAAAGTACTCTAAAACAATGCAAAAATATAATAGATCAAATAAAAAGAAAAACAGGTACTCCAAATGAACCCACAAGCACCAAAACTGAAAGCAAAAATTAAAATCCACAAACCAGAGGATCCAATCAGACCGGTAATAAACAACACTAATGCACCCACATCGAAAGCTAAACCATGTCTACAATTAAAACACGAATACAACATCATTAACACAGCACAGTTTGCAGAAAATATAAGAAAACTAAAACTAATTCCGGATCACAAATTATTGACAATGGATATTAAGGGCCTCTACGTTAATATCCCGATCAACTATACACTCCTTGTAACTAATAAATTATTCGAAGATAACCACACGGACAGAAGCATTATAAAAGAAAGCATGTGCATACTTAGGAAGATATTGAATCAAAATTATTTTCAATATAATGAAAACCTCTACAAACCAAGATCGGGCGTAGCCATGGGCTCACCTTTATCAAGTATTATGGCAGAAAATTTCCTACAAGTTCTAGAACAAAACAGAATAAAACATCTACTGGAAGCTGAAAAAATTATATACTATAATAGATATGTAGATGATATTTTCATAATATACAATCAGTCAAAAACAGCTCCCCATAACCTCATCGAACACGTCAATGCACAACATAAAATCTTGCGATTCACAAGTAATGAGGAAGTAAACAACCAAATAGCATACTTACACTTAAACCTGATTAACAAACACGGACAAATAGAAAGGGAAATATACAGAAAACCCACAACAATAGACACAACAATAAATAATAACTCTTGCCACCCTAAAGGACAAAAATTAGCAGCATGAAATACTGATACATAGCCTTCTAACACTACCCCTCAAAGAAAACGCTAAAACAAAGAGTTAAATACTATTATTAATATAGCTTTAAACAACAACTATAAGAAGGAAGACATCACACAACTATATAACAAACTCAAACAAAAGAAAAATAGTCTGGATAATAAAGCCGAAAAATAACAAACATTGGCCACATTAACCTATACGGGAAATTACATACGAAAAATAACAAAACTCATCAAAAACACCAACATAAAAATAGTCTTTAAAACAGCTCACGCTATAGGTAAATGGAAAACGAGAAACAAACCTCTACGAACAAAGTGGGATATACAAAATAAGCTGTCAAAACTGTCATACGGTATATATCGGCCAAACTGGTAGAAATCTAACAACAGGGTACAGGGAACACATAAGAAACATAAGACTAAACAAAGACGAATCGGCATTTGCCCAACATGTACTAAACAAACGCCACCAGTGCGGACCGATGACAGTAATCATGGAAATGGTTGCGAATGCCGAAAAATTGGAGTATCATGAATATAAAAGAAAATTTCCATATATCGCTTTAATAAGCTCAACAAATTGATAGAAGAAGAAAAACACACAAAGGAAAGTGACAATCAGTATAATATGTTCGACCTCATAATATAACATCAGTACACGCCCACACTAACGGCACAGACACAAGGAGTATAAATACGCGGACCAACACAATCTAGAACAGTAAAAACAAGACAGCTGGCCACAAACATATACAGGACAACATTAAAGGTAGGACGAAATAACAAAATACTTTACAAAACATGATAGGATTGATGAAATAATACAACATACCCATAATATATTTGCAGAACCCTCTTCTCGAGAACGACAAGGTGGCACACATTCGGCCCCCGTCAAAAGGAATAATAAGAGGGACGACACGAACCAGATTGGTTTACGAATTCCAATAAAATCTTAACAACGTAACTAAATATTGTCACGTGCTGGGTGTATAACGCGCCACAAGTAACTTCACGCCGTATTGGATATAGCAAATTTATTGCACATTCGCTCTTACAATCACAAAATTTACAATTTCACAATTACTGTCATCGGCAGTATCACAAATACTCCGACGAAAGATAGACAGCTATTGACTGGTTACCCTTTCTCTAGAAACTCACTCACTAGTAACTGCTACTCACAAACTGGCTCTACTTACTGAATACTGACTGACTACGCACTCCCTGGCTAACTCGTAACTCACTGTTGAATAGTGTTCGCTGCTCCTTATTTAGCCCCGTTACGGACAACACAGAAAACAGTTACATAATAGGCACCACTGTTTCGTAACGTCGTGTTTACCGACTGCCTAGGAACAGTCGTTGCACGGACTCCCCGCCGTGTTTACAAAGGCGTTGCTGGAGCGCGCTGCCGGGAGTTGTTTACGGCTACGTAGCAACTGCGGAGACCCGTGTTACGTCACCAGTGACCTCATCGGGACTTGAAGTTCCTGTAGAAGTTCCTCCTAGTAACTTTCATATTGTCTGCAATCCATCTTAGTGTAGTAGTAGTAGTAGTAGTAGTAGTAGTAGTAGTGGTGGTAATGTCGAATGGTATTGAACGTAATGAAGCTGCAAAGAAAAATGTTGCCATCTTTAACAATGGAAATACATGTTGTACGTCTACGATGGTAGCATTTATAGTGTCATTCTCAGGCACAGGTAATGTTAACTTTCTTAATTAAAATTATGATGGGACTCAAACAGTGGTGACACATGTGTGATCCAATCCTGACGTCGCGCTGTTTGTATTGCTACATCAGTGGATTTGCTGGGGCACTCTAGGAAGTTTCTTCATCAGCTGTTGGTATTCTGTCACTCCAAATGTGATCTCGTAGCATTCAGTCAGCTGTTTGTCGTCTGTCGGTGTATTTGTGTGTTTGGTTGCATTGTGTATTATGTGTCGAAAGCTGGGGTTCTAGAGGAGGTAGAACGGCCGGAAGGTGTTTGGAGTAAGTGAAGTAATGTTTCGGGTGCTATGAAATTGACGGTTCGAGTACTGCTGTATCCACGGCACAACACATAGCTCCTGCCTTTCACTTATTTCTGTATAGCACACGGCGAAATTATACTTATCGGGGTGTTATGTTGTACTAAAAAACTGTATGTACTCAATGTTAATTTGTTAAGAGGCACATTGTCTCCAAGCGTAATATGAAGAAATACTTTCGTCTGTCCTGCATGTATTTCTGAAGCACGCAGTTGATAGCACCAAATTCCCTTCTCACGTTTAATATCCACTATTTATAATATGTGCATAATGTTAGGGTCATAGTAGGCGAATTTCATATTCTTCAGTAACGGTTTGCTGTAGATCGCTCACTCCAATTTAATGATGAGGTTACGAATGAGTGCAGCTGTACCTCCGTTACCCCGTACCTCATTTGTGCATGGTGCTCAATTAAGCACAGGAACAACTTTATTGTTACCTCCTATCGAATCAGTGTATCACATACACAGTAATTCGAAACATTTTGCATATATCGTCCCACCGACCACCACCATAGTATAAAAACAAAGCTTCTTTTCTCCCAAGAAGTATATTTTTACTCTTAACGGAAATTGTTATTCTTTGGCATGGCCCAGGCGATTGATTATAAGTTGGCGCCTTTAATATATGAAATTCACGGCGGACGAAGCCACTAGGGCAGTTTTGTCTCCCGTTTTCTCTTCCAGTGATTTCACCACTGAGGTGTTGCAATACCCCTGACCCCTGACCTGGGAGCACATTACACCAACTTTTCGAACTCAGGTCGTACTTTACAGTTCACAGTTCCCCAAGGATAAGAGAATTCAACTTTAATGTTGGGTATTAATTAAATGAGATTAATTACCTGCCCATTAGTAAATACATACAAGTTTAAAGGTAGGATAAGTAGGGCTAATTGTAAGCAGGCAACTAGTTGGGCCTGAGAACATGGGACTGCTCGAACATCACAGGAAGGAAATCGATTTCATTAACTGATTAATGCTCTTTCATGTTTCCTTTCACAGTTTAGTTTACGAAACACACGTAACGATTGCAACTTAGGCGTTATTGGCTAATTTCAAAGTCTGGTTGATATATTTTATATAACTTAATTTCGTAAATATGAAACCGGATTTCACAGCAGTTGCCTATATGTGTTTATTTATATCTAGACGTTAAACTGTAGAAAATTTGTATAATTTCTAGTGTGGTGCATGAAAGACACGCAATTGTACTGTTCCGAAATTTGACAAAGTGTCTGGCCGGAAATGACTTCTACTTGCGTCGTACATTAAGAAAATTAAGATTTTTTTTACGTCACAAAATACGTCAGTCATCACTGATTGGAAGTTTTAAAAGAAATATTACGTCATAAATACCGAGACGTAACTATGATTGGCAAGCATTAGCAAGTCAGTTTTGAACAAAGAATGCAGATCGTATCCACTGAACGTAGTTCGAATGAGTGCCAATTTCAGGTAGCAATTACCGCTATTACGATCTCGATTTTTTCCCAGAGTTGCCATATTACATGTATAAGGGCGGGAGCGCGCCAAGGAGACTGGCAACCTCAATTTCCGCCTGAACTGAAGACACGTTACTGAATGGAAGAGCGCAAATTGAGGAAACGGTAAGACAACTCGCGGAAAGACTGAGAAACTCAACTTTCAGGCAACGGAACATGCCACCCTTCACGCAATTGCGTTGCCGCGTGGTTTCACAGTGTCAGCTGTTAGGCTAGGAGCACACCGAGAAAATTAGGACCCGCGATTTCCGAGAATTGTTATCATCCTGAGTTGAACACATGTTAGTGAATGGAGCAACGCGAATTGAGGAAACGGCAACGCAACTTACGGGGAGACCGAGAAACTCAATTTCCAGGCAACGGAGAACGATTCTCACGATTGAGTTCCCGCTTGGATTCCTAGAAATCAACTGTTCTGTAACGCGCTACAGTGATTCATTTGTTAAGATGACGCGAAAAGTTGAAGCTGCTAATAGTGTTCAAGTGCAGTTAATTGAACAAGAGCCTGGCATGTATGACAAAAGCAATCCAGACTATGCCAGGCGGGACAGAATAGATTTCGCTTTGGAAAAAAATTCTCATGAGTTGAAGGAATCTGGTATGTCTGTATACGTATATACGTGGTATATATTATTTGTATCTTGTCTTCGAATTGGAGGCCTTACAAGATCCACTAGTAAAGATAAAATTTCAGTGCTCATTCTGTAAAATGATTTGAACAGTTCTGCATCCTGAGTAAGTTCCTTAGACACAGTATAAGTACCTGAGTGTAAATTGTCGCGAAAGAAAGGGTGTACCTAATGTTTCCTTTTCTTCTGCCTTCTCAACCACCACCATATCATTACAGGATCAATATTATTATCTGATATTGCAGAAAAGAAATGCACGAAATTGGCAGGCACACACAACCACTTGAGGTAATATGAGCAACTAATCAAACGAAAGTTACCTCAGTGTGCGCCTGCTAATGTGGAAACCAGTTGCCTGCTTAAAATCGGCGACATTTCTCTCAAATAGAGGTGGCCAGTTTCCTTGGTTTTACATAACGCGGTTCGGTGATTAATTTGTTTCTTAAGATGTCACAAAAGGTTGACGAAGCTGCTAATTTTGTTTTTGTGCAGTTAATTGAGCAAGAGCCTGGTATATATGACAAACGCCACCCGGACTAGCATAGGCAGGACAAAATAGATTTTACATGAGAAAGAATTTCTTACGAGACGAAGAAGTCTGAATCCAGGTTAAGTTATTTCGAAACAATATAAGCACCTCAATTAAAATTGTTACAGAAGAACGGATTCACCCAATGTTTTCGTTTCCTAGTATTGTATTTAAGCATCATGTTGCATTAATATATCATTTACTTCACATATCTTTCCATCTTAAATACAACTTATTACATAGTCACCCATCTTCCACGTTACATGGTTCGGCTATATACGGCCATCATCAGGTGTCTTCTGTCTTGCTAAAATCGTTGCACTGCATGTTACAATTTCGTATCGCGGGGGTGAACGCGATATTTTCTGATTAAAATAAATTGACCTTAATTAAAACAAATTAACATCCCAGTATATTCCTTATGGCCGTCGTACTCTCTTCTCACGCCGTTTTAATCGGTCTGAACTACCACCGTATTATGACAGGATCAGTATTATTAACTTCCATTGCAGTAGGTAAGTGCACGAAATTAAAACACACAATCATGCATTTCGTCGGACGAATATACCCACTTTAGTTGATGTGAGCATCTACCCAAACATAAGTTTCCTCAGTGTGCGGCTGCTAATCTGGAATTCAGTTGCCTGCTTCAAGTCGGCTACATTTCTCTGCAATTGCGTTTGCCAATTTCCTTGGTGTATAAAGCAAATATGTAAATTGAAAATAAATAAATAAATATAGATAAAAGTACAATAATTAGATCAATTAAATTAGTTTGGAGAGCCTGGGTATTTCAAAATTAGGTTTCTGAGGTGTTTCTGCCCCAACACTTGGCTGGTTATAGAGTACAGAAGTTTTTCTTTTAGATCATATCCCACCAGTTGAGAAAAATTGCCCTGCACCGTTAACAAATTCGAGAAAGTAGGAAAATTAGGAGTTACAGAAAACAAACTATAATTTTTTACTGAAATAAGCCCTTTCATAATGAGCACTAGAACGAACGTAGGTTATAAACTGCATTTTAATGTGTCCTCCTGTGTTTGAATGTTGTTGAAAGATACTTTTAGGAGACACCAAAGAAACTGGAAACTGCAACGCAACCGTAATTTCCGAGAAACGTCACCGATTTCAAGCAGGTAACTGGTTTTCAGATTAGCAGGCGCACACTGAACATTGGGATGTTAATTAATTTAATTTAAGTAAGGGCAGTTTATTTTAATCAGGAAGTATTGCTGTCACACGCAATACGAACTGTTGACATACAGTGCAACAATTTTAGCAAGATAGAAGACACATGATGAATGCCATCACATATGGCTGAAATATGTAGCATGGAAGAAGGGCGACTAGATAATAAGTTGCATTTAAAACGGAAATATATGTGTAATAAATGATATATTAATGCAACAGGATGTTTAAATACAATATTAAGAAAAGAAAATATCTGATGCATCTGTTCATCCTTGACAATTTAAACTCAGGTACTTATATTGCTTCGAATTAACTAGGATCCAGGCCACTTCATCTCGTGAGAAAATCTTTCTCAAGCCAAATCTGTTCTGCCCTACCTAGCATAGTCTGGGTTTCGTTTGTCATATATATACCAGGCTCTTGCTCAATTGACTGCAGAAAAATAAAATTAGCAGCTGCGTCAAGCTTTCGTGCCATCGTAAGAAAAAATGAATCACTGAAGCGCGTTATATAACAGCTGACACTAGGAATCCAGGCGGAAACTCAGATGTGAGAATACTGCTATAATCCGTTGCCTGGATGTGAGTTTATCGGTCTTTCAGCGAGTTTCTTTGCCGTTACCACAATTAGCGCTGCCCCATTCAGCAACATGCGCTCAACTCAGGCTGATAATTGTTAGGGCTAAAGCACACAAGGAAACTGGCAACCGCAGTTTCCGAGAATTGTTGCCAGACTCAGTTGAACACCTGAAACTGAATGGAACAGCGCAAATTGAGGAAGCGGCAACGCAACTCACGGAAGACTGAGAAACTCGCGCGTGAAAGTGATATTTCCTGATTGAAATAAAGTAAAGCTATCCCTGTACCAGGCCGTGAAGGCCCATAGGGTTGTGAGACGCTGAGGGTCCCACATTATCTAGATAATCGGCTCAAAGATGACGGTAAGGTTGTCAGCCTTACGCACCAGCCGCGCTTTACTCCCCAGGAAAATTATTTAATTAATTCCTGGAACTCATTTCTGTTAGAGGCTGAGTCACCTTCAGGGCCATAGTGTTGCTGGAAGGATTAGGTCAATTGAAAAAAACCAATGACCTCATCGGGACTTGAACCCGCGACCTTCCGGCTTATAGCATATCCCCTCAACCAACTACATACCGCAATTGACCTTAATTAAAATTAATTAACATCCCAATGTTTTCCATATGGTCGTCGTTCTCTCTCCTCATTCTGTCCCAACCACTACCCTATTATGACAGGATCAGTTTCTGACATTGCAGAAGAGAAATGCACGAAATTAAAAATTACCATTACGCATTAATTCTGACAAGCAAACCCACCTGACATGAACTGAGCAACTTAATGAAATATAAGTTTCCTCAGTGTGCACCTTCAAATCTGAAAACCGGTTGTATGCTTAAAGTCGGTGATGTTTCTCGGAAATTGTGGTTGTGTTGCAGTTGCCAATTTCTTTGGTGTACCGTTGCCCATAAAATGCAAAGTTTTGAGCCTCCGTCAAATTAAATGTAATTAGTAGTGCATTTCATGAAGTACCTGCTGTATCATTTCTGCTGTATGTTCTCTGCATGGATTCAAGAGAAGATTGTTATGCATGGAGGTTCGTAACTTTGCTGACTGGTTCATGGCTCAGTGCTTCACGGTGACCAGTGCACCGCCGACTGTGAGGCACATGCGAATTTTGCCGATGAATCAATATAACTGTTGGCCGATAGACTTTGCAATGAAGTAGTTACAATTCATGGATCGAAGTAGGTTTGAAAAATGCTGCCCATCTACACATACACATTCCTTGTACCAACAAAAGGTGTTCTGATTTACTCTTTGAAGCTGTTCTGCAGGAATATTTGCAGTTTCCCTATGAGCATTCCCCCCCCGTTTAGGGATTATTGTTGTAAACTTTGTCCTTCAAGCAGCCCCAGAAGAAAAAATCACAAGGATTAATATCAAGTGAACTTGCTGGCCAAATACAAAGCCTGCATAGACATACATGCGGTGTAGGCAGTGGCTGAGTCTTGCTGAAATCAGCCTAGATTCTTTTCCCCTTCTGTTAACTCTGGAAAGAATTGCCTGAGAATAACCTGTACATATCTTTCACAATTAATTATTTCATTAAAATCACAGATCCAACAATCCTTGCTCTTACAACACACCAGACACAAACTTTCACTGGATGGAGCAGGACGCCATGGGTTTGATGAGGATTCTGTGATCTCCAGTAGCGATTATTTTGCATACTTATGTCTCCCTGCAAGTGAAACAATGCTACATCAGAAAAGAAATTCAACTGCAGCTTGATCTCACTGATGACAGACTCTAGAAACCAAATGTAAAAATTAACTTTACTAGCTGGATCATGCAGCTGCAAGGTGTGGATTATCATTTTGTAGGGTCTAAGGTTCAGCAATTGTGTTGCCCTTCTTGCACTAGACTTTGATGCTCCAGCCTTTTGAGCTAGACATTTCAGTGATATTCTAGGTGTCTGTTCAAGTAGGGTTCCTATGAGTTCCAACTTTTCCTCAGTAAGCACTTGACACTTATGTTTTTGTTTCTTGTCTGTTAGGAGTCCCATTGATCTAAGTTTATTCACCAAATTGTGAATTGTTTGTCTGCTGGGAACTCTTTCATCACAAAATTTATGTCAACACTTTCTAGCAGATCTGTATTTCACAGAGGTGTCATACAGAAATACATGCTGCTCTAAAGTATACTGCACCATGACAGAACTCACTGCTCACTAATTGTAACAGAGAACAAATGCTGATGGAGCTGATAACTGCCACCCATTGCTGACAAATCATAAACAAATTCCCATGCATGAACAGCTCTGATGTTCATAATGCCTTCAGGTGGTTAATAACCTCCCTTAATTCCAAACGGTATGAGCCATGAGGCATACTGATTCATCAACAAAATTCATATGTACACTGCAGAGCTGTGAACTGGTAAACAAAGGTAAGAACCTCCCTGTACATTTGCATTACAAGTCTGAATGTACTACTTGGTATAATACTTGAAGTTTGTAACTGATTCTTATTTCATTTGTGGCAGCATACACAATGAGTATAAATGACTTGACGAATGCTGTCCAGCTCTCATCCACAAGCTACACAGATGGGTATAAACAGAGGTCAGACGGTAATCCAGCAGAAGTAGCAAGAGAGCAAATGAACCCTCTACTCAACCACATAAGTGAAAGAAATGGTAAACTGTTGAAGCTTTATCAGTAATAAACATATGTTGTCTTTAATTCAGTCAAGGATTTTGAACCTGGGGTTAGAACTATGCAGAGTCAAGAACTCTTTATTAACCAGAAATTTTATGCATCTTTGGACATAAATTAAATTCATGTACTCTTCCTAAACATTTTTGAGGATGTGTTATTACCTGACAGCGATGTAGAATATTATGTCATCATTAGAAGATTACTAGATTCTATTTTCATCATATGATTGGAATCAAAATGGTCATACCAGAGATCTCATTGAACACACGGCACTTCTCTTTCAGAAGGTTGGCTACTCAAGGTATTTTTATATGTACACCCATTGCTAGGCAATGGATTGGTGAACAAGTTCCTGCAAAGACAGATTCTTGGTAAACAGTCCATTGCTATGTTACACAACAATTCTGACAACCGAAGAAGTGTTCTCAATGTGGTCCATGCCATGCCCAGTGCTAGGCAACAACTGTAAACAAGTTTACAATAATAAAAGTTTTTTTCTATGTATGGTCCGTTCTGAAGGTTTATAGGACACAACAAATGTCATTTCTGAGTGGTCGCAGCTGAGGAGCTGTGAATCCAGGTTATGAAGCTGTCATGGAAAAGACTTGAGAGTGCAATGCAGTGCAGCAAAGAGTATAAGGTTGAGAATGGAGCATGTCCTTAGTGAATTGTGAAGATTTAGTTTAGTACAGATTAAGACAGAGGAGTACAGAGTGATTGAAGACAAAATAACACGAAGACTTCATTGTGATTTGAAGTGCTAGTTTCTGCATGGAGATCTGTTGACAGGAGACGACTAGTGAAGACAGAGAATCCTAGTGCGTGCGCAGTGGTAAACTGAAAGTGTGTAGAATATCGATAGTGTTGAGTGTGATTAAAAGAACTTATAACTGAAGTGCTAATAAATCCAATCATCCGATCTAGAACCCGTTATTTTCTTCATGCATACCCTCCCCCCTCGACACATTAGAGTATGGTGTACACTCAAAGATGTTTTAGACAGAGTTTAATGAGGATTGATAATTTAGCTTATAAATTATAAAGTGGATTTTAATGAAATTTTAGTATTCTGAGTTCACACAAAAAGTGATTGCATTAAATTAATTTTGGTTTGTATCAGTCCAATTTAATCCCTATTCCATATGAAGCCCTAATCAGACTTTATAAATTTCCACAAAAACATCTCTTCATACAAGAAATGGTTATGTGAAAAAACATAGAGCTCATTACAATTACAATATTCCTGTGAAACTATTTGATATGATGTATGTTTAATGAGGCACCAGTACACACATTTTATGTTTCTATACAGTACTGTATTTTTAGTGTTCATCACTTTTCCAGCAATAGAATTTGTGAAGAAAACTGCTACAGCTTCGTAATTTCTACTCTATCAAATATCAGACTGATTCAATTGAAAAGAATGAGCTTTGTAGGTCATGTATCATGCTTAAGAAAACTGAGTAATGCATACAAAATCTTGATCAGAAAATTTAGATTGTCTAGGGATAGATGGGAAAGTAATATTAAGGTAGAGCACAGTGTAAGGAAATGTGGTTTGAGGGTCTAAACTGGATTAATCTGAGTCAAGACAGTGTCCAATGGAGTTCTTTTGAACACTATAATGAATCTGTGTGTTTCCTTGACCAGTTCTTCTCAGGAAGGCCTCTTCTTTGTGTAAATAAGTTTTTTTTATTATTATTATTATTTTTATGTGTATTGTAAATATGTTCATTGTATTCCAACTTACACATCCAGTATTTTTTTATTCATAATTTCATATATGTTCACTATTGTGGTATGACACTGTAGTGTGTATAGCCATCACTGGGTAACGACCTTGAAACAAACAATGAAACAACATTTGCTGCTAGGTAACAGATTCTTAATAAGCAAGTATACACAACCGTTCCTCAGTATCCCCTTCCCAAACACACGTTCCCATTGAAACGGTTTGAGTACCACAATGAACGGAATTTTCTATGTGTTCTGTGCCAAGATGTTATAAGCAAGGGACAAATTTACAAGTTAGAAGACTGTGTGGAGGCGGGTTCAAATACCTCCACCATAGTCCTGTGAGTCGTAGGAAGCGACAAACAGGGAACCCAGTGCCTGGGGTATAACTGAGCCACCCTGACCCTGGGGAATATAAATGTAGGGACCTGGCCCTTCAGCTTGGGGGAGTATTGAAACAGACAGTAAAATATGGTCACGAGTTCCGCAGAACATGGACCTGAGAATGGTTGTGCTGTCGAGGATCAGCAGTAATTGTAAACAACACACTCATCCTGTCACCAGAGAGGATGTTATGTATGGACTACGACCACAGCAGTTCAGTTGAAAAATAAAATTACTGGTCATGAGTCTCAAGGGGCTTGGTGCACAAGATGAAGTGATTGGCGGTAAACCACCAATTATAAAGAATTTGATTCTGACACTGAGAATTTAGCGAGTTGTCAGTAGACAGTGGTACAGGAGTCTCTGAAGAAAAGACTTTGTGAGTGCAGTTGAAGAATCGCCATTGTTCAGATCAATTACGGTAAATGACCACTTAAAACACTTAGCATGAGCTGTAGTTATTTGCAAAGTGTGTAAATGAACGATGATGCTATAGTTAAGTGTAGTCATGAGTCTTGTGTTAAAGTGGTCAATAAATCTAATCGCCAGTCGAAAACTCCCTCAAGATTCATTCAAAATCATGGCAATATATTAATGTTAAAATATTACTTCATGACATTGTAATTATAGTACAGGAAACACCATAGTACATATGGAAATTAAACACTCACACATAGCTCAGTACTAAACACTGTTACGTGCATGTCTCCAGGGGGCACGCGGTAGCATAGTTGGTTGAGGGGCTATGCTACAAGCCGGAAGGTCACAGGTTCAAGTCCCAATGAGGTCATTGGATTTTTTTCAATTGACCTAATCCTTCCAGCCATGCTATGGTCCTGGGGTTGACTCAGCCTCTAACAGAAGTGAATACAGGAATTAATTAAATAATTTTCCTGGGGAGTAAAGTGCAGCTGGCGCATAGGGCTGACAACCTTACAACCATCTTTGAGCCGATTTTCTAGATAATGTGGGACCCTCAACGTCTCACAGCCCTATAGGTCTTCATGGCCTCTTACAGGGATAGCTTTACTTTTTTTTTTATTACTTGCATGTCCCCATGCATGCAGTAGTGAACTATGCTCTCTCATTTTGCAGAATGCATCATTGTGCATGATGCTGTCACATAGACATGTTGCATTCTATTATTTTCTGTGCATCCGCATTAAATATGAGTTTCATTTTCAGAGCTGTCTACAACTAGTAACAAGTCTGTGATAGGAACTGGAAAAAATGAGAATACCATTTTAACCGAACAAGCAGATTCATCACCAGATTACAAGAGGCAAGTATATTGCATTGGCCACTCTGCTGATCATGCAAATTATCGGAATGAAGATGAAGAACAGGCTTGTAGTTCATTTACTTTACCATTAACAACAATGAAGATTATTATTTACTTGGTTGCTCTCTATGGATGTGAAATTGATGTAGCATTCTAAAGGAAGAACATAGTTTGTCTGAGGATGTTCAGACCCAAGAAGGAGGCAGTAACATGAGGATGGAGGCAGGAGTAACTGTGACTTTCTTAGGTCACATGTTGCAGGTACTAATGACACCATCCTCAATGAAGTTGGCCGAACTACGGCTGTGTCTTTGGTGGGGACGCATCATGGATCAGGGACATATCGGGACACAACCTTGGGACACCTCCTCATGGTCCTGCTGGGCAACAATAGTCTTGGGGTCTAGATTAGGATGACCAACCAGGACTGACGGCTAAGTTCCCATAAAGGGCAATGGCATTATGACCGGAGCCTCCCACGTGGCGGCATAATGACTCTTAGGTATCACTACAGTCTACCCAGGACGAATGCGGGAGAGCACTCATGTGGGGTTAGCTTCAGCTACTTGAGCTGTCTCCCTATAGTACTGATAAGGTGCCTCAAACCTTCGGGCTCAACACTCTAAAACGGTCTGACCAACCCATATGGAGCGGTGGGAATGTGGGGAGCTTTTATGCCACCCTCAGGGCGACTGCTTCATGCAGGTTTCCCTGGTCGCAACCTCATGATTAGCTGGTGTCTCACTCCCATTGATCATCTGGGACACACCCCTCCATCCGAATGACCATTTTTGGTCCTGGAGGCTTGTGAGGGTTTATCCTTAACAGGACCAAACCACCTAAGTCAAGGTGTGAGGCATTGTGCTGAGGGCTGCATGGCACTGGGGTGGTTATTAGCCAGTGTCGTGAACAATCCCCTCGGGGCACCAGGCAGCACCCCGTTGTATTTATGCCTTCCACCCATATGGGGTGCTGAGGGTGGTGACCTTCTATGTCCCCATGACTTGTAGGACCAAAATGAAAGGTACCAAAATAGAAACCGGTCATAAGGACTTTAAACAGAAGAGGGACTCCCCTCCAAGGGGATCCCTATGAGAAATACTTCAGCAAGGGGCAGGAAGCTCTGGTGCACTGTTAAGGTTCCCAGTTGCAACCAGCGAACCTGCTGTTGAAATTTCAGCCAAAGATGGACGAACCAGTGGTTCGAAACCTGCCCGAGGTAAAACCAGAAACCACTCCCTTGGGAGTCAGTAGTACTGACATACCACTGTAGGAAGCTAGTACTTCTAGCATACCTACAGTAGGAGAAGGTCTAGGACACCTAGTCTCTGGAGTAAGTGGACTCTGTCTGGCGAAGGAGGCACTGTCCGGATGCACTAGACAGAAACTTAAAAAGTCAAGAGGTAGGGCAAGCGAAGCAGGAACTGGGGCCATTTAGCAACCAGGAAATGCAGGCTCACCCAAGCAGGGAGAAACCCCTACCAAGACCCTTAAGAGGCCAAGGTCAGAGGACAGTACCCCCACAGAAACGGTCAGAGCTCCAAAAAGGCCCAGGGATGCTAAGGGACCAGGGACCTACAAGGAGGCCATGACCAATATAAAGGTAGCTATCTTCAGGGAATCACATCTTGAAGATAAGCTAACAGAAGATGTCCAGAACTCCATTCTGGATGTACTGGGAGGAGTGTAACTTAGGACTCCATTAGAGAACTATCACACCTGAAGTCCTACAGACTGGAGGGAGGCACACTTATTTATATATGCGCCAACCAACAGTCTCGTCAATGGCTTATCAAACCATTGACAAGTACAGGGGCCAGGCTGAAGGCTACTGATGCCAAGAACCTACCCAAGCCTGTTAAGGTGGCTCTCAGGATTAGGAACAAAGTTGTTACTATAGGATTCTGACGATGGTGTATAACACATTGATATATTGGGTTTTTGGACTTCATCCATCGTCCTAGTTTTTAAGATAACAAATAAAAACACGACGTTTCGGAAACTGGATCTGTTTCCGTCCTCAGGTGAAGGAAAACACCTATTCAGTTGGGTCCGTTAGAAAGAGCAAGCCTCAATCACTGGATCCAGTGAGTCCAGTCAGAGCCTGCATGGTGCATGGGTTTATCCCTATGGTCTGGAGGCAAGTCAAGGAGACATTTATTCTGAAGCCCGAGAAACTTTATTATACTGAGGCTAAGGCTTATTGTCCTATCAGCCTGTCGTCTTTCCTTTTGAAACAATGGAGAAACTAGTAGATATATACATTAAGGACAGTGCATTGAAGATTCATTAGGAAACTACAGATTATGTTGCAGTGATCAATGGAGACCTAAATCTGAAGGTTTTGGACATGCATATATGATTCAGGACATGAAAAAGGAACCCATCCTCCAGATGGGATCTGATAAAATGATACTGAAACATGTCTATGATAAACCCTTCACGATCAGATTTCCTGATAGAAATGAATGGAAAAGGGGTTTCAACCTGATAGAAAGTGGGGACTAATCTGTTATACAGATGGTTCCAAGACAAATAAAGGCGCTGGAGTGTACTGTAATGGAACAGGGCGGAAACGTAGTTTCAGCCTTGGTCAGTATACAACAGTATTCCAGGCAGAAGTGTATGCCATTAAGGCATGTGCAGTTGAGAACTTAGATAGAAACTACAAAAATAGGAATGTCTATATATAGGTCATACCGAAAGTCATGAGCAACTTTTTTTTTTTGCATGCAACCTGGGAACAGCAGACAAAAGAGAGTATGGTGGTAGGTGGAACCGGCTGCTGTGTTAACCTTGAGTGTCTTGTGACGTCAGTAGCTTGCATCACGTGACCAATATCACTCCTAACAAAATGGCCCAAAACCATATGTTGTTTCGCCAGCGTGCTGTCATCGAATTTCTTGTGAAAGAGCAAACCCCTGCTGCAGAAATTCACCAGAGACTTCAACGTGCTTATGGAAGTGTGTGCATGGGTGCGAGCAGTGTTCGAAGATGGGGGAAACATTTTAAAGGTGGAAACACCAGCATTGAAGATGAGCCTCGGAGCGGTCGTCCTCGAACAGCCTCAACTGAACGCAACAAGGAAAGAGTGGATGAGATCATTCAAGATGACAGGCATGTGACTGTGGATACAGTAGCCCGAAAACTTGGAATAGGGCACAGTGCAGTACAGGAGATGATTGAAAGCTTGGGCTAAAGGAAAGTGTGTGTTCGTTGGGTCCCGTGGTTATTGACCGAAGACCACAAGGGTCAGCGAAAAGCCATCACCTCATAACTGCTGCAGAGATATCGACACGAAGGTGATTATTTTTTGCTCTGTATTGTGATGGGTGACGAAAGCTTGTTTCACCATTTCAAGCCTGAAACGAAACGGCAGAGTATGGAATGGCACCATTTGCATTCTCCATCAAAAAAGAAGTCAAAGACAGTGCCATCAGCTTCGAAAGTGATGGGCACAGTCTTCTGGGATGCAGAGGGGTTTATTCTGGCTGAATTCCTGGAACCTGGGCAAACCATCAATGCTGCTCGTTATGTCCAGATGCTGCACAAGCTCCGTCGTGCATTGCGCAATAAAAGTCCGGGATAAAACATCATCTTGCATGACAACGCTCGCCCCCACACTGCTCGCCACACATTGGAAGCAATTGCAAAGATGGGGTGGGAAGTTCTTCCACACCCCTCCTATAGCCCTTATCTGGCACCCTCCGACTACCATATTTTCGTATTTGTGAAAGATCAGCTGCGTGGACATATTGAGACAAGGGAGTTAATTCAGAAAGTGGTGCGTCAGTGTCTTCGGATGGCTGGAATGGAATTTTACAGAAGGGGAATTTTCAAACTACCAGAACGCTGGGAGAAATGTGTACAAAGAAGTGGCGATTATGTGGAAAAATAAAGAAAGGTCTGTAGATTGAGGTGGTGTATTTGGTTTGTCAATAATAAAGCATTTTACTTTACAAAAAATTGTTGCTCATGACTTTCATTATGACCCTCATAATATCAGATAGTCAAGCTTCAATCAAAGCACTTTTTACACACCAAATCACTTCAAAATTGGTTTGGAATTGCCACCAATCCCTCACACAACCTGCCAGACATAACAGAGTTCAGCTGATATGGATGCCAGGCCATGAGGGTATTGCTGGGAATGAAACCGCAGATGAGCTGGCAAGGACAGGATCTAAACAACTGCTCATAGGACCTGAACCAGCTTGCGGCATCCCAATTGGAGTTGCCAAGAAAGCGATCGGGGACCAGACTAACAGAAATCACAAAAAAAAAAGAAACACTGGGAATCCACAACTGGACTCAAACAGGCAGAAGGCTTTATATCAAAACCCTCTGCCAAAAGAATGAGGGACCTGCTAAAATTAAACAGATATCAACTAAAATGGGTGGTAGGATTACTTACTGGGCACTGCCACCTAAAAGTGCACCTTTTCAAACTGGGACTGACAGATGACCCAACTAGTGAAAGGTGCATACAAGAAGATGAATCAGCCACACACATCTTATGTGATTGTGAGGCTATAGCTTACCTAAGATGTAATGGCTGCACCATAGCTCAAGTGGTTAGTCACTGGCTTCCCACCGTGGTGGCCCAGGTTCGATCATGGGTCTGGTCAAGTGGGATTTGTGGTGGACAAAGTGGCGTTGGGACAGGTTTTCTCCAAGTACTTCGGTTTCCCCTGCCAATCTTCATTCCACCAATTGCTCCACAATCACCCTCACCTATCATCTAGGGCTGGTACAATAGGCCGTCAGAAGTGGCCGCAGTACAAGGGACTTAGTCCCACCCCACTAGCAATAAAAAATACCTAAGATATCGCCACCTGGGTAAATTCTTCATGGAACCAAGTGACTTTTATGACACCCCCATAAATAAAGTCCTAAATTTCATTTGAAGTGTAGGATTAATAAAGGGTTAATCCAAAGCATAATAGATTTTTGAAGGCCGCAGTGTGAGGGCCAGTTTTTATGGCTCACCCCTCATACTCATCATGAGGATGGAAAAAAGTGCATGAGGAACTTCAAATTTTCACTCCACAATTAATGTTATTGAAGGCAAAGAAAAAAGAAAATAATAGATAAAGCTATTCCTGTAACAGGCTGTGGAGACCTATAGGGTTGTGAGATGTCAAGGTTCCCGTATTTTCTAGGCAGTAGGCTCACTGATGGCAATAAAGTTGTTAACCTTACACACTGGCCACCCTTTACCCCTCAGGAATATTCCTGGTACTCATTTCTGTTAGAGGCTGAGTCTACCTTGGCCATGGTGCGGCTGGAAGGATTAGGTCAGTTGAAAAATCCATAGGCCTCATCAGCAATTGAACCCATGACCTTCTGGCTTGTAGCATAGTGCCTCAACCAACTACACTACCGCATACCCCTACAATTAATGTTATTAGGATTATTAAATCAAAGAGAATGAAATTGGCAGGGCATTAGCCTGAATATGAGAAACGAGATATAAATAGAAAATTTTTTGTTGAAAACCTGAAGGCAAAAAATTACTTTGGAGACCTATGTATAGGATTTCTTAATTTTATGTGTATTCAGTTTCAAAGCCAGGCCTTTCTGGTAGGGAGTAATTTTTTTTTAAACAGTCCCATGAGAAGTGTGTTCTGAAAGTGTTGTGCCTGAGTCCAAGAACCTAGAGATGTTAAATTAAGTGGCCACCATGTACCTCAAAGGTTGTTTATGATATTTCAGTGCAGATTTTTCTTCATGGACATACCACTACTATTAAAATAGATTTTGAAGACATTAGGTGTGAAGGTGTGTACTGGATTAAAATGAGTCAGGCTAGAGTCTAGAGACACCATCCTCTTCTGAAAAATGGTTCTTTAAATGAAGCAAATATTTGTATAATGTAAATAATTATGAAATACTGAAGAATATGCTGTACCATACAGTTAGTTATGGACTTGAATAGTTACTTAGCTACTTAATTAATTGGCTGTTCAATTAGTCAGTCAGTTATGGTATGAAGAGGAAGAATTTGGGCATGCTTAGTCAGCAAGTTATTTGCTATGGACTGGGCAGCCCAGATATAAGTTTGGGGGGAGGTTTGAAACTGTCTCTTCACACTGCAACCAAAACTGGCATGAGGTATGTAGTGTGCTGTCTAGTACAAGCCATGCATCTTTCTCAAAAGTTTGTCAAGAGGAATGATTTAAAAAGTATCTCATCAAGATTATGTCCATTTCCTCTCTGTGTTGCAGATCCTCTGTTGTAAAAAGGATAGCGGAGAACTTGGCACCTGCAAACTTATGTCCACAGTTCAACCTTCCCTTACGAATAGCAACAGTTATTCTTATGCTGCTGCTCTTGTGGGGTGTAATGTTCACAATATTCCAGGATGCTGTACTCCCTCAGAGCAAAATATTTGAGCTTACCACAGTTGTCATACTAGCATATATTGCTGGTTGGCTTGTTTCCTTGATTCGTCTCCCGCCACTACTTGGTATGCTTGTGACAGGCATCCTACTGCGTAACATTGGCTCTTTCCATATGGTGGGCAGTTATGCAACTGCTGTGTCCACTCTAAGGTAAGAAATATTGGTGTTTGGATATTCTACCAGAAGCAAGTGCAGGTCTTATTTCGAATTGTAATGATTAAGCAGCTCACTGCTATGTATGGAGTGTGAATACTGTTCTCTAGATACCTGTCCAGAATTTGCTTATTAGGCATTCTTTGCAGAGTGTTAATAAAATGGACATGTAATGGGAAGTCAAGCCTGTCCCTTAGTTTGTGTGTTTCATATCTCAACTACTGAATGCTTTCAAACTGAGTTTGATCTGCATTAAAAGTTGAAGGGCATATTTGAATTTGGTTTAGACTGTTCCAGTATAATTCCTATTTGCATGAAGCTTAAATGATATGTTATAATTTTTTCTTAAATGGTTTATTGTACAAATATGTTGATAAGCTGATGAATATGTGTATCTAATTAAGATCTACAATTTTATTTGAAATAGTTTTGATCTGGTGTATACTTAATAAAATACATTAAAAATGATATAGTCTGAAACAATAAGTACATTAATACAGTCCTAATGCATATTTCTGCCATAAGACTGTAGAACAAAATGGGGGAAAAAATTAAAACTAGATGTAGGTAAAGGTAAAGGTAAAGTTGTCCTTGTGCTTAACTAATTGAGCACTATGCCATGAAGGTGTATGAGGAGCAGATGTCTAGGTCCACATTTTCTTGACCTCAGCACTAGTTGGAGGTGAGTGGTCAGCTTAATGCCCCAGCCGCTTTATTCCCAAGGATAGAGCCCCCGGTACCCATTGTGTAGGAGGTTGGGTGGATTCCAGAGCTGGTATGGATGACATGGAGAGGTGAAAATTGTGCCCCACAAGGATTTGAACTCTGAACCCTCCATCCTCCAGCCCAAAGCCAGTCACCACACCGACTGAGCTATCCCAGCTCCACAAACAAGACATTATAATTTCATATAATTTAAGAATTATAAGACCATCACTTCATGATAAATTTCGTATTCCTGGGGGTATCTTGTTTCTGAAATGTGTTAAACAGTACAAGGGGAAATAATGTGTTTGACTATTCTTGAATAATTTTCAACAGCAGATTTATGTATTACCCTTTGTCATGAAAATTTAATTCCCATTTCTGCCACATTCTGTCTGCAATAAATTAACTTTAAGACCACAGAAGAATGCAAGTTTGCGAGGAAGATATTTAGAAAGTATGTGTACTCCAGCGGAAAGCATTTTCCACTCTTCTTTGTGAGAAGTTTGCTTCAACCTATATAGATTGAAACCAGTGCTATAAATAGAAAATAAATATTTGCAAATGTGACAGATGTGAGTAGTAGGAAAGTAGGTGCATCATCATGTTGCAGATTGGTAGCAATGGTTGTCATCCTCATCAAAGCTGGTCTTGGCCTGGATTCTGCTGCCCTAAGGAGGTTAAGTTTTGTTGTTACAAAGTTAGCATTCATCCCATGTCTGGTGGAAGCTGCAACAGATGCTGTAGTTGCTCACCTGGTGCTGGGGTTTCCTTGGCTATGGGGCACACTACTTGGGTAAGAAAAGGATATCTTGGCCTTGAATTGGATTTAGCTTTGAAAAGTAATTTTGAAATATGTTTTAAATGAAAGACTGTCAATTTTTTGTTGAGAAAGGTTCCATGATACAGGATATCTGAGCAGGAATAAATAGTTAATTGTTTGTGATATTCTCCAGTTATAAGGAATCTAAATATTAAAATTGGCAGGAACCTTTCCTGTTTGCACCTGATTGAAACATATCTGGTTTTCAAAACACCGTGCTTGATAAATCCCAAGATGGTGAACAATGTTAAAAATAATAGTCAAGTGTACTGTGATGTGCCATCATCAAAAACACTTATGCTTAGCTTAATCTGAAAGTTCCAAACTGCCATCACAGAAATCTATCGTTGGTTCTTGTACTATGCCTCTTAAATTCAATTAACATATTCACAACCTCTAAGATCAATTTTAATATTGTTCTTCCATCCATACCTGTCTCTGTGACAGTCTCTTCTACTGACATTTTCTAACTAAAATTCTGCATGCACGTTCTTTTCTCCTTCAGTCGCCATTCTATCTTACTGTCATTAAATGTTGAAGGAAAATCTTACAGGAAGCAAGAGAGGACAAATGTACTCTGCTTATAGCACATGGGGGCTCCATATGCATTACTTGAACACTGAGACATTCTTGTCCAGTGGAGTTCCTAAGGTAGGTTTTACATAGAGAATTAGAACAATGTTCTGACCCCGCAGTTCAAACTGGTGTTGTTGGTACTGTTTCCACTAGTTTGTTCACTTCTGTGGAGGTATTTTCCAGATTGTTTTGTTTCACTATATTCCAAAGAGCACAGATGGATTTTGTGTTGGCAAATTTGTCATTTCTATAAAGTACAGATAATTCATTCTCCAATTTATCCTTCAAAAGAATAGACAGTACAGTGGAACCTCGCTTAACGAGCAAAATTCGTTCCAGAATCTTACTCATAATGCAAAACGCTCGTTAAGCTAAACAGTTTTTCCCATATAAATTAATGTAAAATACGATAATGCATTCCATGATGAAAAAAATAGTCAGAAATTTTATGTATAACGTTTATTCAAAGAAAATTATTTGTACATTGTTAAGGAGCATGAATCATCTTCATCTTTTCTTCTATGTGGAATGAACCAACCTGGAATGTGAATTCGATTTTCAGAAATAAAAAATCGAAATAATTAGAGTATAATTTATGATCCATATATAATTCTTTTTTACTAGAAAGCTGTCTAGAGACATTTGTTTTTGCCGACGCTTCAAAATTTGGTGAAAATGCGACACAGCATTATCATTAAATAAATTTGTAGCACACATAGCCTCTGCCTATTAGGGTGATGCTTCTCAATATATGATGCAACAGTTTCCCATGCTTTCAGCATTTCTCTTATTGCGCCAGAAGATTGTTGCTTTGCTGTTGCCTCCTCCTCCTCCTCCTCCTCTGACAAACTCTCCTCCACAACTTCTTGCTGTGAAACACAATGCAACTCCAAATCGTGCAAATTGTTGATGTAGACCGATTTTATATGCATGCTAGATCAGCCACGCCCACACCTCGTTCTCGCTTTTCAATGATTTTACTTTTCATTTCTACAGTTATTTTTATTCTCTTATGGCTGTCTTCTTGCGGCTTTTTCTTTGGGGACATTTTTGCAAGGGTTGTTAAACTTTGCACAAAAAAATCACAAATAATATGTCTGAACAGAAGTTTGGAAAAATGTGTGATCACAAGCGACACTAAGATGCTAGCAGAACGAGTGCTAAACACAGACTGATGTAGCAAGCGCACAATCCAGGACTTCCCCTCTTGTCACTCGTTGTGCGAAACGTTGCTCGTTAAGCGAGTCATTTCCTTACAATTTGTGTTGCTCGTTATGCAAATTACTCGTTATGAGAGGTGCTCCTTAAGCGAGGTTCCACTGTATTTAACAACATCCATTGCTGCTGCCACTGAGTACAACTGAATCTATTTGATACAAAGAATATTCTTGTGTATATTGGGACATGTCTCTGATCTAAGTTCTTGCCCCTGTATAGCAGAATCTGGCTGGCAGAACATACTACACGAGACTAAAGGATCATGCAGAATTTAGCATTAGAGTAACACCCAGTCTCTTATTGTCAGCCTTCTGTGAAATTGCCTTATTTTGTTGTTATATCTAGGGCTAGTGTCTGGTAGTCCCAGTAAGATATTTTACATGATAACCATTCTCCCTGAACAAATGTATTGCCCTGTCTTGGCTGGTAGGTTATGGTGACGTGGTTTTATGCAAGCACAATTAGTACCGAGGGTCTTGTTTCACACAGCCCCAGCAACCAAGCTTAATGGAATATTTTCTTGCATTGCATTATCACATGTATTAAAGCAAGCTGTATATTTCAAGAGTGGATCTTATCTGTTGAACTGCCTTCGTTCTCTATGTAAATGATAAATGCAAGATACAACCTGCTTTTCTAAAATCAACTTTCTTTGCTTTTTAGTCTTCAAAAATGAAGTGGGGCTGAGTTCCAGTAGCCCCTATGGACTTACCACCCATGTGTAAATCATTCTTCACATCTTGCAATCATCTCAATCTGGACCTTTCTGCTTCTCTTCTATTTTATGGCACAATCTTTAGAAATGTTTTTTAGCTACTATTGTTGAATCCATTCTGAGTATATATCCCATCCACTCCAATCTTCGCCTTATATATTCTACCAAATGAGGAGTTTCGATAATTCCCTCAGTTCTTTGTTAGTTCTGATTTTCCAGACCCCTTCCTCAGTTACTGGTCTGTACACCTTCCTCAGAACTGTCCTTCCCATATAATTAACATCATATCTTTCTTTTAAGTCATGGACCATTTTTCATGTCCATACCCTGCAACTGGTTTTAACATTGTTTTATCTGAAGAAAGCAGTCTTTTGGGATTTGGCACCGTGTATAAGTGGTGTTAACCGACGTTTCGGAGGAACGTATCGCCTCCATCTTCAGGGTAGAAGAAAATATAAGAATTCTGCAAGTGAAGAGACGGTGAGAACCGGTACAAGAGGCGATACGTTCCTCCGAAACGTCGGTTAACACCACTTATACACGGTGCCAAATCCCAAAAGACTGCTTTCTTCATAGTCACCGCCGTGAAAGCCTCAAATCTTACATTGTTTTATCTATTGTCAGGTGTTAGAATGATTATGGAGGGGCTTGGATTGGTGGTTCAATTTATTGTCCACTTACACATCGTAACAACAACTGTAACAGCCTCACCAGTTTACACACTCCAAAGATCACTGTAACTGCAGCACACTTAAAGTCTTCTCTGTCTTCACCAGTCATTTACTGATAACAGATCTAACAATGAGTTCTGCTAATGTCCTTACTGGCTGGCAAATATCCCACAACTTACTCGTTGCTTACTCGTTGCCCCAGTTGACTAAGTCCCAGGCTGGTGGTCATCTCACACCAACCTTCTACTCTTATCTCAGTGACTGACTAACTGCAGCTCCCACTTGTCCTGCTTATAACATCTTGGTCTCGCTTTCCTTCCCTGTGGCTTGTTCCTCATGGTGATTACTCTCCAACTACTCAAGCTGCTGCCTCCTTAATGCTGCTCCTCCCAAGCGGCTCCCTCACAAGGTGACAGTCGGTCTACGTGTACTACCATCATTCTCAATTTCCCCTCAGTGCAGGCAAAAGATCCGAGAGTGGTCGATGATCCTGTGTATCTGACTCTTACTCTGTGCAGTCTCTTCTTGCATTTCAGAAGGGACCGACCTCTCCACAATGTCCCGACTCTCATATTCTGCAGTCTAATGAAAGTCCTGACTATTTTCTTTGCGACCTCCAGCCCTATGGTCTGCCTGTAGGTCTTACTGAGTGTTCTCATGCCTCCCAGACGTAATTGCTCTTTTAGGCCTCAGTTCCTTATGCCATTTTTGCATTCTGGGCCCTCCCATCATCTCTTCTCGACTGTTAGTCCTCCAGAGATTCCTGTTGCAAAATCGCCCCTGGTCTGCCTTTTCTGTGGGTTCTGGTATATCATGGCCTGTCACTGGTCCTCCAATTAGTCCTCCTGTGCTCCAAAAATCTCCACTGCAGCTTCTTTATTAAGGACTCCCTGATGCTACAACTTGGACTCTATTTCTTCCTGATTTGCCTCCAAATCCATGGCCTGTGTCTTTCTAGACAGGCCCCCCATTTTCTCTAGCTGGTAGTCCATCCTGGTGTATGGGTGTGAAACTTGGTCTTTGACATTAAGGAGGGAACATAGATTGAGGGTTTTTGAGAACAAGGAGAATATTTGGACTGAAGAGAGCTGAAGTGACAGGAGGTTGGAGAAAACTGCATAATGAGGAGCTTCATAACTTATACTCTTCTCCAAGTATAATTAGAATGTTCAAGTCAAGGAGGAGAGGTGGGCAGGGTATGTAGCACGAATGGGGAAGAAGAGGAATGCATATAGGATATTGGTGGGAAAGCCAGAAGGAAAGAGACCACTGGGAAGACCATGGCATAGGTGGGTGGACAATATTAAAATGGATCTTAGAGAGATAGGATGGGATGGTATGGATTGGATTGATCTGGCTCAGGATAGGGACCATTGGAGGGCTCTTGTGAACATGATGAACCTCCAGGTTCCATAAAATGCTGGGGAATTCTTGAGTAGCTGCAGAATTGGCAGCTTCTCAAGAAGGGCCCAGCTCCATGCGTGAGTAAGGGTAGTCGATCCTGGTCACCATCCTTCTGTGATGGGCTTTTAATTTGGCTGTTATCTTTTCTTGGTTGGTGTCTGCCTTGGTTTGGTTGGTTCTTATTTCATCCATCAGTCATGCCATCATTTGTTCCATCTCCATAGTATGGCGATAAAGCAATCTGGTGCAGTTTCCAGTCCAACCACTTTTGACACCATTTGTCATGTGACAGAGTGTGACTCTCGATGGGGTTTGGATTGGTAATTGGATTTATTGACCACTTACAGATCATAGCTACAAGTAACAGTAACAGCCTCACTGGTTTACAGACTCTAAAGATCACTGTATCTGCATCGTACATAAAGTCTTCTGTGTCTTCACTAGTCATTTCTTACTAATGGATCCCAACAGGGTCCTCTGCTAACATCGTTACTGGCTCATGCTGAACTGCAGTCAAAGTTACTTTATGACTGGTGGTTTACAGCCAATCAAATCAATTTGGCACCAAGCCCCTTGAGGCTCATGATATTTTGCTTGTCAACTGAAACCTTGTGGTCATACTCCTTATGTGACATCCGGTCTGATGAGAGGATGGGTTTGTCTCTTATGAATATGCTTGGCCTTGAGGGGCTATGCTACAAGCCAGAAGGTCGCAGGTTCAAGTCCCGATGAGGTCTTTGGATTTTTTTCAGTTGACATAATCCTTCCAGCCGCACTGGGCCATGGGGTTACTCAGCCTCTAACAGTAATGAGTACCATGAATTAATTAAATAATTTTCCTGGGGAGTAAAGCGTGGCCAGCACGTAAGGCTGATAACCTTACCGCCATCTTTGAGCCAATTGTCTAGATAGTGTGGGACCCTCAACATCTCACAACCCTATGGGACTTCATGGCCTGTTACAGGGATAGCCTTACTTTTTCTTTTTTGTCAAATGTGTGCATCATACATATAACAAGTTGAAAATTCTTCCTTTTGCACTATATACAAGTCCTCTATCAATACAGGCTTTGCAAAGCAGTTCATACCTATCTTACTTATCTCCTTGGGAACATGTTGTTTGCAAAGCTGTTACGCAGTAATGGCTCTTGTACAGTATGCACCAAAAATTACAGTACTGAAATGAAAAGATGTCCTGTTGATACCACTGTCTATTCATGTGAAGGCCCCTTGCATGACAGAAACTTCTCAAATCCTGAAGAAATGGTCCCATCGCCATGTCCCTGTAGCATTCCTGGGTGACGGTAAGAGCATTGCCTTCCTCATCCTCAATGAAATAGGGGCCTAATATACTGTGTGCTGAGACAACACACCATATCGTCACACGTGTACTATGTAGTGGTTTCTGAACGATAATATCTGGCCGCTCAAAACCAAGGAAGTGAGTTGTCTGGCGACCACTTCTGTATGAACGGAAATAATACTTAACTATGAATACTTTTTCCTCTGTCAAGAGACCCATTTCCAAAAACAACTGCACAACACAACTTCCTTTTCACTACTGGGAACACGTGCGGCTGGAGCTATGCCCCATGAACAAATGCATATGCGCATTCGAGATGCGTGAGTTTAAGTACTGAATTTTTGGCGCATATTGTATATATGCTTATCTCATGGTCGTTTCCGAGCAATGGGTCTATATGCTATATTATTTTTAATATTTGCTGTTCTGCTTACAGTTCTGTACTTAACATATATTACCTGCAGCAGTTTTCATCTTAATAAAGAATTGTACAGGGTGGGGCACAGAAACTTCCTTTTTTTAAGGCAAATAAAAGAAAAATTATTACTGATAGACAAAATTTATGTTTAGCTGTTGTACAACGTATGCAGCCACACAAGAAAGATATATCATAAGAAGCAGTATATACACAATTAAAACATAAGAAGAACGACTCCCATAGCGGATGATTGGCATTACACATGAGTTTGATATACGACATGTAAGATGATAGATCTTAACAAATTTTAATATATAAATTTTATTAATGAACAAAATGAACACACATTTTATATCATTTTATAAATGGAAACTTGATGGCAAGCAGTGCAGTAGTTTAACATGATTAATACACCTGAGAATGGCAGAATGATGCCGAAACATGTAGTGTGAAGTGATGAGTGAGATTGTATGCACTAAAAGATGGTTAATATACGCACATTATGGATTTATGTTTAGATAATGAAAGAACATACTTTAAAGTTTTAAATAATGTAGTTTTAAACAAAATATCTTGAAGGTGGCGGCCACCATTCTCTATGCACTGATGCAACCGTTTTCTGAAGTTCCCCTCTGCATGTTTCAACATGTGCACCAGAATTTGGGCTACTTCCTGCCGAATAACATTCTTCAGCTGAAGCAGGTTTGTGGGGCGATGTTTAAAAACCTCTGCCTTGAGGTATCCCCATAAAAAAAACACAGGACTTTAGATCAGGTGAGTGCGCTGCCCACGGGATGTCACCTCGAAGCAAGATGAGCCGTCCAGGGAACTTCGCCCTCAAAACTGTCATCGAAACTCGGGCTGTGTGGGCCGTGGCACCATCCTGTTGGAATGAGACATTTCCTAGATGCATTTCTCCAAGAGCTGGTTCGAAAAAGTTTTTAATCATGTCCACATACCGCTGTGAATTGACAGTAACTGCATGATTGTCTTCTTCAAAAAAATAAGGGCCAATAACTCCAACTCTCAACAACGCACACCATACTGTCACCTTATCACTGTGAAGTGGCCTCTCATGGAGCTCTTTGGGATTGTTACCACTCCAACAGCACATATTCTGCTTGTTGACATATCCAGATAGGTGAAAATGTGCCTCATCACTAAAAGAAAACAAGTGTGTCAGGGGGTAAAGTTTCCAATAACGTTTCGCACGCCGTTATTCGGTTCTGAAAATCACGTGGTGACAATTCTTGCACAGCAACCATCTTATAGGGATGGAAATGAAGATGTTTATGAAGAATTTGGCACATTGAATGATTGGATATGTCTAGGGCGACTGCATGTTTGCGAGCGGAGCGTCTTGGAGATCTCAAAATCGACTGTCGAACTGCCTCCACTTTTTCTGGCGTCATAACGGTCTGTTGTCGTCCTGATGATTTTTACATCACACTCCCGGTTGTCCCAAAAATCTCTACCCACAAAACAATCGATTTCCGGGTGGGAACCGAACCTCTGGGCTTAATTCCGAAGTGAGTACGGAACGCATGCTGCACCACCACGTAATAGGCTTCAACAGCAAACGCACACTGCTCACTCGTCCACCTCATATTTCCTACTGAGGGGTATTAGTTAGTTAGTTATTGGAAAGGGTGGGTTTCCCCATGCACTTAGACCAGTATTGGTCCATTGTGCTTCCCTCTATGATATTCTACCAGTCTCTATATCCTACCGATATTGGTGCGTACCATCAGTCCCGACCAAGCCAGTGAGTTCGGCCTCCACTAGCTTGGCGGTATCTATAATGCTTCCCCCATCTATCAGAGGTGTTAGAGACTACTTGTTGGGCGGGAAACGTCCTTGAATTTAGCTCAGTGACCTCCTTTGGAGATATGAGGTTCTTTTACGTGCCGTAAAGCTACGACATGGGACATACAGCTTAAAGTCCCTCCCGGAGGACCTGTTCCCTGAATTTTTCCGCCCTTAAAAATTCGACGACCTCCGCTGGGTTTGAACCTGCGTACGAGTCATGAGGTGGGAACGTTACCTCTAGACTACGGAGGCCGCTTTACTGAGGGGAATTAGACAGAAACTTCTGTGACTGCTGTGTTCACTGAGCCTATCCCCACTTTTCTGCGACCTCCCCTCCCTTCACAATGCATCTTCACAAAAAAAGGAAGTTTCTGCACCCCACTCTGTATATTTGAGTTCCAAGTAATTATCATCTTGCTTTCTTTATTGATTTAATTTTAAGGTCCCCATGCTAAATATATTATGTGTACTTCCACTATATAGCATAGTTAAAGTGCATGTGTCCATTATTCCCACATCATTTTATCTAATTTCCTGATTTGCTGCTATAGAAATACTCTGTTTCTCCAATTCCGATTTTAATTATCTTAATGTTCATATCTTGAATAAATTGAGCACATTCCATGTAGCAAGATATAACTCATTGTTCTTATAACCTTAGTCGATTCTCTGGATTATATCTGGCAGTCATTGTAAGGTTTTGTAACATACATTGTTTTCTGAAGTGAGGGTATTAACCTTACACCTGGAGGACCAGGGGCTACCTTTCATTTGGCCCCAAACACTTTTATCTACATAGCTTGGAGGACCCTGTGAGCAGCCTCTAAAATTCTCCTTTTTCAAGTGGCCACTTTCCCAGAAGGTTCCACGTCAGAATTCTCCCTTCCAGACAAATGAAGCAGCAACACACTTTACGTTCCTTCCAGATATGGAGGGTTCATGTAGTGATCAGTAAACAGACAGACAACAGACAAAATATGCCCAACTAACTCCATAAAGCAATGTCAATCCAGAAAAGATAATAGTTGCTCAGTTAATTAAGAAATGTCCTCATTTTTTTTGGAACCCAAAGGGTCATTAATGTGTTCACTAGAGTCTGCCACTGGGTCCTGTCCTGAACCATTTGAATTCAGTCCTCAGCCTTATCTAAAGGGAATTCCTTGCCACCATAGCATGTGCATCCTTCAATTGCAGTGGAGGAGACATTACATAGATTTGGAGAGTACCTGTGAATATATGGAATCAGCAGTCATGGATAGCTGACAAGGGGTATCCCTCCAGCTTGAAGGGTAGACTGTAGGGCAGATAACTCCTCAGCATATTAAAGTAACATATTACACTGCACCAATTGCATACACATATTTTTTCAAAACACTTCTGCAATTCAGATGTTTCCTCCTTGGATCTGTATTTAAATTATTACATTTTAGCATGCAGTATTATTCTGCAAAATATGTTTATAGTTTTGTGCTGGGAGCAGTGTCCCCTGCTGTTGTAGTACCCTCATTGCTTGGGCTTCAAGAGAAGGGTTATGGTGAAGACAAAGGAATTTCAACCCTAGTTATAGCTGCATCAAGCATTGATGATATTGCAGCCATCTCAGGCTTTGGAGTAGTTCTTGGGCTCATTTTCTCTAAAGGTAAGAATAAATTTACTTTTATGTTTATTTTAGGGCGTAGTACTTACTTGTATGTTAGATTGGTTAGAAACATTATGGACATTAAAGAAAACGTTATGCAACATCTGCTGGTTCTTGTGATGATGCTGTAGGTGGTGACTTGATGCAGCAGTTGGTACATGGCCCAATAGAGGTGGCCATTGGGCTGAGTTTCGGAGTAGGATGGGGAATTCTGTTGATGTTCTTTCCTCATAAAGATGATGTAAGTATTCCTGATGAGCCTAATGTCAGTGTGTTAACTAACAGTAATGTCTCATTTCCCAGTTCAGGTGTTTTGATTTTTGTATATTATACATCAGTGAATGTGACTTAATTTTTTGATAGGCAGTCCTTCGTTTCTGCCAGTGTTCCAGATATTCATCACATATGGCAACATGCATGATAACAGGCCTCCAACAAGATATAAACCTTGTGATGAATTTTAATTTTAAGATTGCTATAATTTTATTTACAGTTTCATACAGTCTGTCAACATTTCATTCAGTTTTTCATTGCTGGTATTTGTCAGCAGATTCCAATAAAGTAAATGTAGTTTTGGTTCTGTCAGTACGTCTGTTAATACATTAAGTGATGTACTGGTGCCTTGTTCTCACTAGATGCCAGCATTTAGATGTGACAATGTGTGGAGAGGTGCAATACATTTTAATCTTTCTTTGTCACAAAGAACAAAACCTTTAAAATATTTAAAAGTATCATACACTGTGCTATCTAAGCACAAATACTATAGAGTAGAAGAATTTTAACTATAGTTTACTGTTGTGGAAACATATTAATGCAACCCTATTTTCATGGTTCTTTTTCTAGGTGACCAAAGTTGTCTTGCCATTGTCTTCACAGTGATAATGGTTTTTGTTTCAGTTGTGGGTGGTTGGGGAGCGAACCTTCCTGATAGGAGGGGGTGGTCTGTTTGCTGTCCTGGGTAGCAGTCTCGTTGGTTACTCTGGAGCTGGTCCTCTTGGCTGCATCATAGCTGCCTTTGTAGCTTGCTCTGGCTGGAAGCTACAAGGCTGGAGTAGCAATTTTGTGAGTTTAGTAGATGCAATATTTTGCACATATGAAGTGCTGACCCCCACTAAGAGTCCTGAATACAATATCTGTACGAGGGGGGACCCAAAAATAACCGGAAACGACCTGTTGCGCGCACATGCTTTGTAGTTACGAGTTGTGCTGCTAGGTGGTGTTAGCTGGGGGTCTCCTGCGACTGTTAGTGAGCTGGCGTCAGTCTGAGTTAAGTGGTTTGTCTGTGGTGCTCTGTTGTGTGCGTTCCTGTTTCAACCCTTTGGCGATTAGTGAGATGGCCGACCAGAAGGAACAAAGAGTGTGCGTGAAATTGATGAAGATCGTCGAAAGACCATTGACCAACTTTCTGAGGAAATGAACATCTCATGGAGCACGGTCCAGCGAATTTTAACCGAAGGTTTGCACATGAGNTCACTAACAGTCGCGGGAGACCCCCAGCTAACACCACCTAGGAGCACAACTCGTAACTACAAAGCATGCGCGCGCAACAGGTCGTTTCTGGTTATTTTTGGGTCCCCCTTCGTACATATTTTTTATTTTTATTTTAATATCTGTACATGATTGCCCCACTTTACTCCCTCATCATTTACTTCAATCATTCACCAGAGAAGTGTAGACCTATTAACCAACAAAACTTTAAAAATAACTCTGTAGATACAACATTTTTAGATATATTTATAATTTAGGTTGTTTTGATTGATGTGAACTGGATTGGGCTGACTGAAATAAGCCTGGCAATTTTTTAAATTTTGGCACTGATGAATCTTGGGTTTTCAAAAAAAGCACAAAATTTCTGAACAGCTGGAAAATTGTCAATTACTTAAGGAAAATCTTCTGTCAAAACTTGTAACCATACAGAATTTCACATATAGTACTTAGGTGCAATAGTACAGTAAGCACCCAGTTATCCAGTAGCCAAGCATCAAGAATTCTCTTTGAAGTTGGAAAAATTTCAAAGAAAATTCACAATTTTTATAAAGTTATTGAAAATCAAATATGTGATATGCATACATTCATCTGCCATGTAGTAGTTCTTCAGTTGCCAGTAGCAGTGCTACACGTCATTCTTCCTCATGCAGGTGCTGTTACAGTGAGGCTCGTTGAATTTGTTATCATGTTACAGTATAAGCAACTGAAGTCTCAGCCATAAATCTACTTATCATGTTACAGTATAAGCAACTGAAGTCTCAGCCATAAATCTACTGTCACCTAAGAAGGCTCCCATGCAAGAAAGAAAGTTGAAGCATGTTGTTTTGGCTTTGTATTGGGCTTCTGTAAGTTTTTTTTTATGAAACGAGCAGATTCATGTAACTAGTGCATTGCATTCTGCATGCCTGCCAGGTAACTGGGAGTTTACTACATGTGTAGCTGAACACAATTTAACACACACTGATCAGCTCATTTGACCTCAGCCATGGCACCTCAGTATAAAATTACTTCTGTTTAATTTTTTCTGTCGTCAGTTTATGGGGTCTCAGCTATGGCCCATAAATGTTAAATTTGTTCCATTGAACCTGCCCCCCTCCTCCAGGTTTTTCTTTTTTTGATTTCTTATTTATCATTTTATAAAATGATGATTATGTACATCATGACTTGTTTTATTTTAATTCAGTGTTCAAATTCGTTGTTCTCTAGATAAATATTTAATGGAATTTCTGCACATGTTATGAGCATCGAAATTCAATTTTCATGTTCTTAGTTTCTGTTTTGCACAGAATGGTCCATAATGATAACTGCATGTTTCCAACAACCTGTTAAAAATTATATGATCAAATATGGAATGGCGGTATTGTTATTCCTAGCTTACTAGTTTGCATGATTGCTATGTTGATATTTTTACGTAGATAATTAGGAAGACTGTAGATTGTATGACTCTGACAAAGTTTCATGGAAATAAGGCAACAGGTATCATTGGAATGGAGGGACACTCACATGTATACATGCCCACACATATCGGAATAAACACCTGCACACAAAGACACACACACTATGATATAAGCTACAATTTTCTTAGGGAAAGGAAAATATTTTTAGCTGTAAGAAATGGAGAATGAAGGGGACTATATGCTGAATGATTTTTGTTAAGTAAATGATTTTCTTTGGCAGAATCCTGTAGCAGACATATACGGTGACATCTGGAAGGTGTTCCAGCCAGTTCTATTTGGACTTATTGGCACAGAAATAGATCTTTCACAGCTGGAAGAAAACACAGTTTTATATGGTCTCTGCATCCTGGCTGTGGGTCTCATGGTCAGTATAGTACTAACTGCGTTGGAGTGATGAGTTTTGCAAGACTGTTCTTGAAGATGGATATTTTCTGTGTTAATACAGTAATAAATAATACACAATAACTATGTATGAGTGAGGAAGCAACTGTGTGATCTTTCACATTTTATCTGGAACTACTTGATGGCTTTTGCTAAATTAAGTAATCCAGACCTTCAACTGAGATTTGTTTTTGCAAAATCAGTTTCAGTTTCTGTTGGTCTAATATAAACCCTTACTTTATATGAAGCTCAAATTGAACATTTAATGAAATATAAGAAAACATTTCTCTTGAGAAAGAGTGTATTGGCTTTTCTTATGTACCTAAAATAAACAAATGTAAGCAAATAAAATAGTTAACACTGTACATTAAAAATGATGGAATATGTACGCCTTCTAGCAAACTTCTACCTTTAAGAAAGTATTCCTCTGTGCCCTACCAGCACTCAGTCATCTTATTTATTAGTCTCCAATATGTAAATTTTCTACTGTTTATGCCATCTAGCTCAAGAGTAACCAATGTCAGGAACACATTATCATGAACAGATGCACCTGGGCTCAAGCATACATGAACTTGGGCCAAAGAGTTTAATATTTTCATCCATATGAAAAGATGCATTTCAGCAAATCAGACTTCTATATTGGAATCTTAAGTGATTAGGATAGTCATATTGAGACAGGACTGCAAAGTATGTAGAAAAGAGCAAAATTCATTTTTATTTTTCATTACAGCATACTTATGCTAGTTATTCTCCATCTCCAGAAGTAAGACGGAAAACACCTTCTTTGGAGCAACAGCAACATGTTCAGACACTATGTACATAGAAACTTCACAAGTTAAGTAATAAAGCGTAATTTCTTTTCTAGTTGCGGCTCCTGGCAAGCTGTTTTGCAACCATGGGAGGAACTCTAAACCCAAGAGAAATTCTATTTGTGGCCATTGCCTGGTTCCCAAAAGCAACTGTTCAGGTAACAATGTATGGCTTAAGCAAAACACCATGAAGGCACATAAGGGGCCTGGAGGTAAAGCTACAAATATTCTAGGCCTTGGTGCTAGATAGAGTGAGTGTTACATAGTTGCTGGATCACACTGTATGCATTTTGGGAGATACAGTAAGAGAAAGAGAGACACCAAAAACCAAAAACTGATGCCGGAAGCAGCGACTTGAAGCACAGAGCAAATGATGCTCAAGATGGTTCAAGTTCGTATAGCAACAGGCGTGACCACGGCTGTTGTACTGCGATGTGGAAAGCAAATGGAAAAACTACCACATCACTTTTCCTGGATAGTCTCTTTCCAAAAACAGAGATACCATGTATGCGAGATTAAACTGGAGGGGCGGATAGAAGTGACTAGAAGACGAGGAAGAAGACATAAGAAGATGCTGGATGACCTTGGGGATAGAAGAGGATATTTTTATTTGAAGGAGAAAGTTGAGATCGCATTAAGTGTGGGAACTGTTTTGGAAGAGACTGTGGACCTGTCATCTGACAGATTACTGATGAATGAATGAATAGTAAGAAAAACAATTATGCAGAACAATTTATAAAATCACGTGAAAATATGTCCAAACAAGAATATCCATTGTGGCCTTGAAAACCAGTGACTGATTTTTGTTGTTGTGCTTGATATTCTCATAATGCCTACAAGAGAGACTTACTGTTTAAACACAAGGGTTTTCCATTTTTTTAAATCATTACTTTACAAGAGTTTACCTACCAGAATTGTCTGAATTTCTTTCCTGTTTTCGCTACATGTCCAGCCCATACTATTCTACAGGGAGGAGGTAGAAAGAAGCTTCAGATTTTTTTTAAAAAATCTTTAGAATATATAAGATAAACATCTATATGATTCAGTTTTTAATTTGTTTGGTATGAGTTGCTCATTCCATATAGCACCAGGCTACAGGTTTGATGGCCAGGGTTTGATTCCTGGCAGGGACAAGAAATTTTTCTCATCTTCATAATGTCTAGACCATCTCAGGGACACACCCAGCCTTCTATCCAATGGATACTCAGGACTCATTCCTGAGGGGTGAAGCAACCAGGGCATGGAGCTGGCCACTGACCTCTATCTAATGCCAAGGTCAAGAATGGCAAAGCTATAGTTCCATTCCCCCACATTCCTTCATGGTGTAATTAGTTAAAGAGGCTATGTAAACTGAAATTCCTCATGCTAGGCATCATACAGTCACTGAGGATAGCAGAATTTAACTCATACATGTTCTTCCATAGAAATGCTTTCCATTAGTTTTGAGGCAGGCACAGACTAGAAGGGCTGAACTGGAATAACTGGAGGTATTAGTAATAACAACTGAGTGACAAATCTTCAGATAGTCCTGCTGTTGTATCCCGCAGTTGAGGGATAAGGTTGGCCTTGGGCGAGCGGATCACTTGGGAGGCAGAATGGGGTATACCTCTCAGCAGTTGTAATATAACTAAAATTTATTACTAATAAATGAATTACAAGAATCTGAAGGAAATGTAGAAGTGGTTATCTGCCTAAGCTAAGGGCAGTACTGACTCTTAGACTGAAATACAAGTAGTCTCAACTAGTTGTCTGATCTAAAAAGCACCCAGGGCGTCAGTCCTTGGGATTTTATACTACACTTAAGGACTCACTTCCGGATTATTCCCAAATAAGGTTACAGAGATGGTCACTTGGACTTCACTCCCTGCTGCTGTACTATTCCTAGCGTTGTTCGGCCCTCGCTCCAAATGTGACGTAGTGTCTCGGGTCACAAGTTCAATTGATATCCGGCTGGCTGGCAACACTAGAGTGGAAGAATACAGCTTACTACAGCTCATACATACATTCTGTTAAAATAACCCAATTCATATGCAGTACCTCGGTATTTGTACCTATCCCTACAGGTAATTAATATCATTATATGTTACAATACACCCATCCTAGACCCCTATACAACACCTCCCCCCTTGGGAAGAAATTCAATTTACACTTTAATTGAATTTAGAAATGTGATTTTGCAGATCTACTTCTTTTTGATCTGCGAAGTTCTCCGGTTTCTCTGAGGTTGGTAAACTTGTCTAGAGTTTGAAGTGGGATTTCTTCCGGGTTACTTGCAATGCTCTCGCTGCTGGTTTTAATATTGATGTTACCTCTTAATATTAATATTATATTAATAATAATATTAATATTAATAATCTTAATATTGATGTTACCTCTTCCGTTTGACTCTGTGGTGAGACCCAAACGTTCTGTGGTGGAGGCAGCAATCGCTCTTATGGCAGTGTTTGCTTTACAGCAAGGTAATACACACCTCCCTAGCTTATACAGTACATATATTACCAATACACTAGCAAAAACATATGCTAACACTGAATATGTGGTATGGTACTGAGCATACCTGCTCTTCCATTCATGCTCTCTGGCCAACTTTTCCAGTTCAGAAATCTTAAAACTAGCGAATTTTAAATCCTCTACATGATTGACTATGTTTGAATTTCATATCTAAATCTATATGACTCAGGTTGAGGTGAGAACCTAATTGTTCACAGCATTCAAATTCGGCGTCTACCTTTGACAGTTGATCTCCTCCCTTTCTGGAATCGTTCACCTTAATTTCCCTCACTGTGAATAATAATGCTGTTTTTGTGAAACCTTTACACCCTGCTTGAATTTCCAGCTTTCCAGTGTGAGTGAGCAAAACTTCCACTGTTTCCTTGTTGGGACACACAATTGTCACACTATCACTGGATGGTATAAGTATATCCACTCATTTCGCCTCTCCAGTTGTGTCCACACCGGGTGTGTGATAGACACTACTCGGGTATCACAACTCTGAGGTATAGTTCTCCTGGGTTGTAACAATTTTACTACACAAGATTCTCTCAGGTGACTATTTAGTAGGGGTTGACTCTGTTTACATATAAATGAACTTGCTTTCATTAATTTACATTTGTCAAGTTCCTCTCTACTGGTGGTGAAATAATATTGTCCAGTTTTATCCACATACAATACTGAACTCTCTCTCAATGTACACAAACTTGAATTTGTCCTTGGCTGTTGGAAGAGGTATTAGTTTTAATGCCTTAAAAACGCTCTTATTCATGAGTGGTAGAGTTATTACATACTCTAATATACCCTTATTTATGTATACATGTACATCACATAATTTATTAATCATGCCGATCGAATCCTTGCTTAAGGACAATGGTGCCAGTGTACCCTCAGGGAAAAAACGGAATGCTCTTCTTCAAACTCTCAATAATTAAACTAGGAGAAACAATTTGTGGTTGCAGCACTCCTTTCTGTGCATTCAGTATACTTTCTATTAGTAAATCAAGATTTCTTTGCATAGCATTTAAGGCACTGTTCACTTGAGCAATGTGACTTTCTATATTAATCTTAATCGATATTAGGGCCAGTCTAGCTTCAGTTTCTCCTATAAATTTCTCCATATAAGTTTTTAATTCTGTCAATCCTCTTTTGATAAGGTCATTATTATATTCCATATCGGATATTGTTTCATTAAAAGTTCCCAATGGAGCCTTGACAATTGATAACTGTTGCTTCATTAAACCTGTTATATCCTCCGAGTTTTCCTCGAATCGCCTGATTTGTTCATTATAGTAATCAGCGTCATCCGAATCCATTGTGCCAAACAGAATTTTACTAATTTCGCCAATAAAGTTAAAAACTCCTTGACGTCTCCTACGGTGACTAGGATTGCTTCCTATCAAGTCTTTTAACAACCTTTCGCTTCCTCTAATCTGACTCAATCTGTCTCTTGCTATGTTTTCGAAACGATTACAGTTTGTCCAATTTCTAATTGAAGTGGTCAAGCATAATTTGCGCATGTGTTCTGTGTATTCTCCTATCTTATCCGATTTTTGGTCCATATCTTTTACATCTAAGTATACCACTGTTTTCCATTCTGCATTAAATAAGTTAACTTCTCCTAGATTTTCGTAATATATTCCTGGTGATTCATCATATCGATCTACTGAGTATCCAAGATCTTCAGTTGAGGCATTTGTCTCCCTGATTCCCCATGACCAAACGCTCCATACTGCTGTGATCCATGTCCTCCTATACTGTATCTGGAAAGAATAATATTCATTATTTCTCCTATGAAACTAATGGAAAGGTTTTAGCCTATTTAGGTGTACCCTTTGAATTCTTTTTCCCATCTTGAGGGTCGCATTAACCCCTTCTTTACTAATAACTTCATAGCGTCCTAACCATTGCAAACACAGTTTCTTTGATCTACCTCTCCTCATGGTTTCATCTAACAGTAATACTTTGTCACCTGCTTTAATCGATGGTTCCTCTGCATGCCTATCATAGTATTCTTTACTCTTGTGCTTGGCCTGTATTACTCTTTCTCTAGCCTTGTGGTGAGCGGTTTGTAGTCTATTCTTTAATTCAACTAATAAATCATCAAAATTGTATTGGGGATTTGGATCTCCTATTAAGTTAGATGGCATCGCTGACTTAAATCCCTATATCAGTTCAGGCAGAGTGTATGCGGTAGCTACATGGATCGACGTATTATATACGTACACTGCGTAAGGTACCCACTCATCCCAGTTCATTTGATCCTCCCGTATGTAATGTGTCAGGTATTCTTTCAATACTCTGTGACTATGTTCGAGGCTACCGTTGCTCTCCGGGTGAAAAGAGGTGGTTTGTAATTTCTTTATCTTAAGCATTTTGCAGACATTCTTAAAAATTTCGCTCAGGAAGTTTGAGCCTTGATCTGTTAGAATGGTTTTCAGTGTGCCCATTTTCAAAATTATGTGGGTTACAAATTCCCTAGCTACCGTTTCCACATCTTGCTTTCGTATGGGAATGGCCACTAAAAACTTGCTGTGTTCATCTTGGAAAGTAAGTAGGTACTTATTTCCGTTCTGGGTTCCTGTTAAAGGACCCACAATATCTAAACAACATTTTTCCAAGGGTTGGCTGGCTGTAGTGGTAATCTACATCGGGACTTTCCCGCGTGGCCTTAATATTTTATTCACTTGACAGCTCTTACACCTTTTAACATAACCTTCAATTTCTTGCCTCATACTGGGCCAAGAATACTTTTCCTTTATCACCCTATAGGTCTTATTCATGCCACGATGACCTCCCAGAGGTGCATCATGATACTCATACAAGATTTGTTTCTTTTTTTCATCCTCTATATGTGTTCCTAATTGGGTTTTGCTCTGTAGCGATAATCCATGAATACGATTTAATGCGTCCACGTTTGTGTTCAAAGCTCCTTTCTTGTATACTATCTCATAATCGTATTCTTCTAGCTGGATTCTCCACTTTAGCAATCTCGATCCCAGGTCCTTAACATTCATAATCCACATTAGTGGCTTGTGATCGCTGGCTACTTTAAATTTCCTGCCATATAGGTAGGGTCTGAAATGTTTCATGCCCCATACAATAGCTAGAAGCTCTTTCTCACTAGTGGAATAGTTGCGTTCTGCTTTGTTCAAATTTCTACTGGCAAAAGTTATGGGTAGATCTTTCCCAATTTCTCCCTGTGATAAAATCGCTCCTAGCCCTTCATTGCTAGCGTCTGTAGTTAGTAAGAAGTCTTTAGTGAAGTCTGGATATTGCAAGATGGGCTTTGACACCAATTTGTCTTTAGCTTCTGAAAGGCTAATTCCTGTTCTGTTTCCCAAACAAAAGGTACATTAGCTTTAAGTAAAGCATGTAGGGGCGCAGCTATCCTGCTAAAATTTGGGATGAATTTTTCGGTAATAGCTGGCCATACCTAAATAGCTTTTTAGTTGCTTGACATTGATCAGTCTTGGGTAATTACATACAGTCTCTACCTTCTTAGGGTCAGGCATTACCCCTTTTTCCATGATCACATGCCCTAAGTAGCTTACTTCAGTGTGAAGGAATTCGCATTTATTGGGTTGGAGTTTGAGATTAAATTTCCTGATTCTGTCGAATACTACTCTCAATTTTGTATCGTGCTCACTTAGGGACCTGGCATATATTACAATGTCGTCTAGAAATACAAAGCAGCGCGACCCTGTGAGACCACATAACACTGTGTTACTCATGCGTTGGAAGGTCGCTGGTGCCAAACGGAAGCCTCTTATACTCCCAATGACCACTTTTTGTGCTGAAAGCAGTTTTTTCTCGGTCTTTCTCTTCAACTTCTATTTGGTGATAACCCATCACCATGTCTAGGCAGCTAAAATACTTTGACTGGCCCAGCTGATCTAATATCTCCACGATATCGGGGAGAGGGTAGGCATCACCTATGCTCTTCTCATTCAGTTTGCGGCAGTCTACCACCAATCGCCATTTCTTCTCCCCACTAGCATCCTCTCTCTTGGGAATAACAAGGATAGGGCTATTCCACAGTGATTTGCTCTCGGTTATTATCCCACCCTGCAGGAATTTGGTTACTTGCATGTCCACCTCCACCTTCTGGGCTTCTGGCAGTCTATATGGCCTAGTATTAATCGGGCTAGTTCCTGGTACAACAGTTATGGAATGCTTGACGGCATTCGTACAACTCAAGTGGTCTCCCTTTAGGTAAAATTTATCTTGGTAGTCTCTACAGGTACTTTCGATTACTCCTTTTTCTTCGGAATTTAGGTGACCTAGCATCAAGTTCGCCAGGACCTTTTCATCTCTGTTCTGTCCCATTTTCATTTCCACTGGGGTTACGGCTCCCACATAACCAGTTCGATTTTCCCTATCTGGAGTGTACCTTTCCCATTGCATACGGGGAATTTCCATCACTACTTCTTCATCCCTCATATTCAAAATACTGGTGATAGCCTTGTTTCCTTCAATCTTTGTTAGTGAGTTGGCTATATAAATTCCCTCCGCTATCTCTAGCTTACTGATAATCCCTTCAGTGCCTTCTTTCCCTTCTTCTACAGGTACCTCTACTATTACTTCCGACCTCTTTGGCAATCACATTGATCTAGCGTGCCCTGCTACAGGTGTTTCGGCTACACCGAATATCTCTTTAATGACTTTGTGACCCTCCGCCTCAAAGGTTACTCTCTTATTCTCATAACATATGTTGGCTTTTGTACTCTGCAAATATCTCGACTGAGGATCCCATTGTAAGCAAGATCTACTTGTTTATTCACTACGTGGAATGGGAATCGAATTCTAAAATTCCTTTCCTCGATCCCAACCTCTATGACGCCATACGTCTCTACTACGGATCCGTCCACTGCTCTCATTGTTATTTTACGGGTCGGGTCAAACACGGCTTCCCCTATCAACTTCGTGCTCTTTATCAAACTTATATCGGCGCCTGTGTCTACCAGAAACCTCAATTTTCCAGCCTTGCTAACATCCACCTCCCATTCCAAACCGTCATACTTATTTCCACTGATACAGCCTATTGTACCGTATGGACCGTCTGCTGGCTACAGGCCAGTGGTCCTTTTTCGTTTTCCATCTCCTCTGTTTACTGCTTGTCTCTACTCGACACTTTTTGGGGTTTCTTGCAGAATTTTGAAATATGTCCCTTCTCTCCACAATTATAGCAAACTACGTCGTGTGGTGACGCCTGTCTCCTCACCGAAGCATATGTTCCTCAATTTATCTGATAACGTGAGAATTCCTGCTCTTTCTTCTTCCGAGCAATCCATCAGTGCTACTTCTCTAAATTTCGAGCCTAATGTTTGGATCTTTTGCACCCATTCCGAAACACTTTCTGATTTTATTTGCTTAGCCTTGAATAACTGGGTAGCATGAAAATCCAATGTATATTTTTCAAGGTAAGTGTTTTTCAGGAATTCCCTAACCTCTATCCATTTATCCAAATTTTGGTGGGCTATCGCTATCCGAGGCTCCCCACTGATTCTGGTTAACACGAACTTATATAATCTATCCTCATGTTCTGGGTTTATTACTTCAAACGTGGCGTCCGCATTAGAAATAAATGTAAGTACCTCTCTCTTATTCCCACTGAATGGGGTTACTAATTTCAATGCCTCACTTACACTAACATACTGCTCCGCCATATTGCTGGAGCTATTTGCCTCTGCAGCCTGCGCACTTGTTCGCGAACTGACACTCATATATCCTTAAACAGGGACTCATCATTGATGATAATGGACGTTTATCTGGCATAATGGTCCTTCTCCTTCTCTCGCAGTCAGCTCGTCCTCTTGCTCCCCTCGAACTCTCGGTCGTTCACCCTTCGCCTATCTGTTATCTGCTATTTCTCAGCTCCACCATTCCTGTAACTTGTAAATTTCTATTTTAGGGACAGCTTATCGAAGCAACACTTAAAATCTTCCTCCTCTCATCTCCACCCCTCTGCAGAGACTGCTGACTACCTTCTTGTACAATCCCCACACTAATGAGGCTCCTCTGTCTTCACTTCTGGTACGCTGTTTGCTTCCAATCCCTTGTTCTTCCTTTAGAAGAACTGCAAGTGCCCAGTTAATGAGCTATGGAACAGATGGGTCTTACCAACTGTTATGAGTAGGAAGTTCTCCTGGTGGGAAGAATTCCTCCTCCTCCTTCGACGTTCCTGTTGATCCTTTTCTGGCTGCTAATCACCCCACACACCTGACACCAGTTGTTGTATCCCACGGTTGAGGGATAAGGTTGGCCTTGGGTGAGCGGATCCCTTGGGAGGCAGAATGGGGTATACCTCTCAGCAGTTGTAATATAACTAAAGTTTATTAATAATAAGTGAATTACAAGAATCTGATGGAAATGTAGAAGTGGTTATCTGCCTAAGCTAAGGGCAGTACCGACTCTTAGCCTGAAATACAAGTAGTTTCAACTAGCTGTCTGGTCTGAAAGGCGTCCGGGGCATCAGTCCTTGGGGTTTTATACTACACTTAAGGACTCACTCCCGGATTATTCCCAAATATGGTTACAGAAACGGTCACTTGGACTTCACTCCCTGCTGCTGTACTATTTCTAGCGTTGTTTGGCCCTCGCTCCAAACGTGACGTAGTGTCTCGGGTTACAAGTTCAATTGATATCCAGCCAGCTGGTAACACTAGAGTGGAAGAATACAGCTTACAACAGCTCATACATACATTCTGTTAAAATAACCCAACTCATATGCAATACCTCAGTATTGTACCTATCCCTACAGGTAATTTAATATCATTATATGTTACAATACATCCATCCTAGACCCCTATACAACAATGCCTCTTGTTGCCTAGACAAGTACCGTACCATGTGAGATATGGATGATCTAGTCTGGGCACAAATTTCCACTCATTTATATCTTAAAAGGCAGTATAAATTCAATCAGCCTATTATGCTAATTGTGCCACTATACATTTCTCTCATTACATTTCACTTACATGTGTGTCCAGGCTGCCCTTGGTCCTGTGGCACTGGATTTGGCACGTACGGAGGACCCACAGGACACGAGAAAATTAGAACTGGCATCACAAGTTCTGACAATAGCAGTGCTCTCTATCTTGGTTACTGCCCCACTTGGAGCGATAGGTATCTACATAGCTGGGCCCCGCCTTCTGGGTAGAGTTGTGAAAGAGACACAGGGTGATACTGCCAACAGTCAAGTATGATGATGATTGTGAGGTAACTCTAGATATAAAGTTCATGTATGAAACTGTCCACTGCCATAATGTACTTTATTCAGACAGCATTTTAGAAAGTGGATCTGTGCTGGGCTGAATATGATTTGATGCCATAATACAGATTCTTCTTTCTCATGTGCTTGAAACTAATGAAATAACAGAAGTGTGGTAAGCCTCAGCACCTTGACACTGCAGCTTCAAATGAGCTCACTGCAGCAGCTTCTGATGCTGATACAAGCATGGACCATTGGTAGACTGATTACAAAACAACTGCCAGAACTTCCATTATTAATTAGTGTGCATAATCATAGTAGTCTGCACTTCTTATGGGCATAGTGTGTCATATTTAATGCCTAATCACATCAATTTTTTGTACTTAGATCATCTTACTCATCTCTATTTCATTTTAAAAATAATGTTTTAATATTCATAAGCATGGAATTGTCTTTAAGAGTAGTTGTGTGTACTTAATTTTTATTATACTAAAATATGAAAAGAGTGCAACAGAAATATCTTACAATTTCACCACCTTATGTTAATTTGACACACATTTTACATACATTCAGGTCTGCAAGTAAGGGTTACTTGCCTGCCAGATGATATAAAATTTTTCTGTTCAGAAGCTATTATTATTGACCTTCAGCTGCTAGTTTAATTCTTAGCAAGAATGATAACAGTGATAGTGAATAGCCTGTGGCCTTGAAAAACAAGCAGTCGTGATCTGAATCCCAGCAAGAGGTAAAAAAAAATCCTTCACAGCATCCAGACTGGCTCTGGTGTCCATCAAACATCCTATTGAGTGGGTACCAAGGATTCTTTGTCAGGGTGTAAAGTGGGTGAAGCACGATGCTGACCGCTCACCTCCATCTAGTGCCAAGGTTAAGAATGTGTGAAGTTATACCTCCACTCCTCCATACATCCTTATGGCATGGTGCTTCACTAAGCACAGGGAAACTTCACTTTATACAATGTTACTGAATTTTACACTATTGAAACTTCCCCAAAATGGTTGTTTCATCCTTATGAAAAACAGACACTCATTTGACATTATATAACCTATGCTATTGATGAAGAGTCAATGCATAAACTAGGGGACAGGAAGAAATTGTTCATAGCAAGCACATTAAGTTGACATTCATTTTCCCACATTAACAATTCAAACATGAAAATACAGTGTTAGGATCTTATTTTAATGCAGTTGCATTTATCTACTAGTTAAAGAGCTAATCATTTATTGACCCAGTTTAGCTTTGTTCATCCAACAGTCTCCTCAAAGGTCTTCTTAATTTCTTGATCAATCTCATACATTTCATTTCAGAGGCTGAAATTCTGGATTTGTCTTGCGCTCACTGCCAAACTTTCACTCCCATATAAAAGTGCCAGTAAAACCAGGGCACTATACATTTTTATCCTGTATGTTCCGGAGTTCAGGTTGTGTTGATGAGGCGTTCCTTTTAATAGGTTACAAATTTTAAATTCGGTGCTTTTTGTCCTTCATATGACAGTATCTTAAGTACTTCAATATGCTGACTTTTAAAATGTTTTTAAAATATTTTGTTTTCTACTTATGTGTTCCTGGCATGCAACTACTTATCTAAGAAGAAAGCAGTCTATACACGGTGCCATATCCCAAAAGACTGCTTTCTTCATAGTCACTGCCGTGAAAGACTCAAATCTTACATACTTATCTAAGATTTGATATGCCATTCTTTGAGTTCAATCTACTCCTGTATTCAGATGGTTGGCTGTAATTTGCCCGGCAGTTACATTCACTTCTGATTTACACTTTATCCAGCAGCAATCCAAAATTTGGATTCAGGGCTTGGAAACGTTTTTCTCCTAATCTAAAACCTTGAGCTAGAATGGCTGTCAGTAAAATGACTCTGGAGGTCAGATGGCTGAGGTTCAATTCCTAGCAAGGACTTCTTTTTGCCATTATGTTAAGAATGGCTCTCAGACCCACCAAAGTTCTTATACAGTGAGTACTGAGAAGTAAATCAGCCTAGTGTACAGCTGACCACAATTCTGCATACAGTGCCTAGGCTTACAATGTGGGAAGCTTTATCACCATGTTCCCTATACATTGAGACCAACTGTTCAGCTGCCATGTTGAAGGTCAGCCTTTTAATTGAACCCAGGACCCTCATATTGATGTCACCCTGTGTGTGAGTTGTTGTAGTGCTCATAGCTGTTTGTTACTTTCATGTCTTGCCATTTGTGAGAAGCTTGGTTCATCAAAATGGTTAACAGAAATCATTAAGAGCTGCAACATGTTTAATGCAGGACTGGGTACTGGCAGGTTAACCATATGGTAACTAGGACATTGAGAGCTGAAAAAATTTCTCAGGTGTCCCATGTCTTTTGGAATGATCAACTGTTTATGTGGCTGGAAGAATCTGGCAGAGGGGGGTTCAGTGGTATAGCTTAATTTGGGAGAACACCAAGACACAGTAACAACACAGGATGGACTTGTGTAATGACACATTACTGCCTGCAGCTCAATAATTCACATGTACATTAAAGTTAGAAACATATTCATTCATATTTAAGGTGAACATTTAATTGCATTTTCTTAGTTTCTGATGCCATGTAATAATAAAATTCCCTCTAGTCAATGCTTTGCCATCATTGTATTATTGCTCTAACTTCAGTACATGACATTTTAAGTTTATGAATTAGTGTACCTCTCTCTGAAACAAATAATTCAATGTTAACACCACTGACTGACATCTGCCTTGACTGCTATCACCTTTGTTTGCAACAAATACATTATCTTAGGTGAGGTAACATACATTTCCATTGAGTAGGACCATAACTACTTCTAACATACAGGTTAATACTAACTCAACAGCTTGATGAGAAAACACTGCCTCCATATCCTGGTTCAGCTTCTACACTCCTATGATACACACACCACACACTTCCGAAATTAACCCCAGGCTCCAGAATTCACCAGTAAGACATCACAGTACAGTGACATTATGCAGGCAACAGTCAACTATTTCTTTTGAAAACTGAATGACCCATTAAGTCATGAACAGTCAAACCCCAAAAACCTTTCAACAGTGCTATGATACCTCACCTTGCGATTCCATTTTGTAAGCATTATACCAGGTTTAGACAAATGAATACATGTACTATCATACATTACACTTCTGACCTAATGATTAACCAGAGCTGTGGATGGGCTGGTACAACAAACTCATGACACAGTACTTCGAATTACTGGGTTTTTGGACTTTGTCCATCATGTGGTATTCTAAAAACACTAGTACTTTGGAAACTGATCTGCTTCTGTCTTCAGGTGAAGAGGGAGACACCTACTTTGTTCATTCCTTTAGCAAGAACTAACATCAGTCACTGGACCAATGCAGTAATTGAGGTTCACTCTTTCTAACAGACCCAACAGTGTGGGTGTCTTCCCCCTCATATGAGGATTGAAACAGATCTAGTTTCCAAAATGCTGTGTTCTCCAGTGTTTTTAGAATACCAGATGATGGATGAATAAAAAAAAAAAAGTAATTCTGACCATTGTACACCATCGTTAGAAGCCTCCAGAATCTACCTGTGGCAAAGTGCCTGGACAGAGGGACAACCTTAAACTTTATAGGATCTTAGGACCAGACAATGCATCATGGGCACCAGAAAATGTCTGTACTGTGAAAGAACAAATAGAAACCAATGGAGACCAGGACTCCAGTGTTGAAACTCTTCATCCTGGATTTACAGTTTGATTCCCTGAGCACAGTACGTATTGTCATTTCAGTGGTCTAGTTGTGGATGTTGGATGAATGAACCATAAATCTGCAAATTTTACCACTGGATTGACAATATCATCAAGAAATTTCCAAATTCCTGCAAGCCATAATCAGCACAGTAGAATCTTCATATTTGCTTTCACGTTTCTTATGATTCGTTTTAATTGTTATTACGAATGAAGTACAGACCTGAATATCTATTTTTAACAATGTAAAAATCATACAAGGTTTTTAAATGGAAGGTTTACAGTTTCCTACATATGGTACTTGTCTCTGTTTTTTAATAGTATGTAACTTTGAAGTATCAGTTTTCAAGGTGATGAGTGTTCTGTTATGTTCATAACATTGAATGCAGATTAGCTACAAAGCTGGTGAAAGCCTAGACACTCTTTTCATGGGCTTCCACAGCATCTTGAGATTAATTCGATAATAAGCTTCCAAAATTTAACTCACTGTTATTTTCCCATTTGATTTGATCCAATATAACATTTACACCTAAAAGAGTATCATATAAATTATAATTTGAGAATCATTTACGCTGGTTAACAAACTGAAAAATCAAATCTAAACTTCAAATTAATATAACTTAAATTTTGTCTAGATAATGTGGGATCCTCAACATCTCACAACCCTATGGGCCTTCAGGGCCTGGTACAGGGATAGCTTTACTTTTTACTTTTACATTTCCTTCACTACAGAAGTAATGGTTTATACTGGCATGTCTCTAGAGCTAGTATTCTAACAGGGTACAACCACATGTTGGCAGTATCATACGTGTTTTTACTGTTTTATGCTAATAATGAATGCGACTTCTGGCCATAACAAAATTCTCAAGAACAACTCCCCAAGTGTGACTTAATAAACCCTTTATACACAGTCATTATTATTTTGCCCACTTAAATACCCTTCCAGAACAAGATAGTTTGTCTTTCAAAGAAAGACAAAAGCAGTGGTGGCCTACCCCTCACGCAGTACAATATCTCTCATATTTAAGACCAATAGCGAAGGAATGTTGATCATTCTTTTCATGAAACCCACAGTGAACGTAGATAAGTCTGGTGTTCTTGGAAGGCAATTGAAACTGGATTAATTTCAGAATCTTATATACATTATATGTCACTAAAGTTAAGTTTATATAAAACTCATAAATGACTCATTTCAGTTAAAACTGAACTCCTCAGATACAAACACACTGCACAACAGGTCAGCCATGTGAGCACATTACCAGCCACTGCACTCAACATGACGACATTTATGTGTAATAATTTTTTGTACTTTAAAAACAGTCTCATATAAATCCACAAGTTGAACTGTACTGGCTTTAAAATGGATAAGTACACAAACAATACAAGATATAGCACATACCATGACAATTTAAGTGACAAAGACATGATCATTTTTCTTGAAACACATTACAAAAATGAAGAATGCTGTTTTCTGGAATGTGGCACCATGTAGATCTAGTGGAAACTGATGTTTTGGAGGAATGTATCACCTCCATCTTAAGGGTAGAAAAATCCGCAAGCGAGGAACTAGCATGTTGTGCAGGCAACTGTAGACTGAGTCACCAGTTGAAAACACCCAGCTACATAAGAATAGGGAGGGGGGAAGAGTGGGCCACAAGGGAAATCAATAGAGATGATAGGGGAAGGGTCTGTAGAGATGGGGCAGCAGGTAGCAGGTCAAAGCCTTGTTGGGGGAAAAAAAAAGAGGCAGGGCCACCAGGAGAGCATTGACCCAATAGCCTCGGGGCTAAGCTGCCAAGTGCGCATCGACCTGCGTAGCCTTGTAGATCTGGATTTTTTTATCCTTAAGATGGAGGTGATACCTTCCTCCAAAACGTCGGTTTACACTAGATATACACGGCACCACATCCCTGAAGATGGCATTCTTCATAGTCACCTCCATGAAAACCTCAAATCTTACACATTACAAAGATGTTTTATATGAGTATAAACCAAAACTAAAGTAGTTGTGCCTCTTGCACAGATTTTCTGCTGTGTGAAATCACTGCATCAGTTTCTGCATTTTCTACCTTGCTCCAGCAACACTATAGTGAAGTTTACTTACTCACATTAAAGGAAACATTGAAAATGTTCCCCATTGGCTCATACTTCACCATGCCTTCTAAAGGGTCATTCCATGTGAAATCATCCATAAAAGACGCTCACCATTTTTAAAAAATTCAAAATTTGTACACTTATTTCTACATATTTTCACACCTCAAAAAAAAAGTTAAAAAAATCGTGATCTCCTCGGTTCTCCCGGTACAGCTGTTTTTATAATGCGAAAAAAAAACGCGTTTTCGGCTCAAATGGAGGTTTGCGTTATCTTCTGTATCTCGATAACTATTGAAGCTAGAGACTCCAATGAAAAACCAATTTGTTCCTCATGATATGAACAAGAAATCATATCATTACAAGGTTTTACTCAACTCACTTCCTCTAGGTGTAATTAAGCTCGAAACTTACCTATCGATTTTGGGAAAAACGCTATTTTTCACCTTCAAAAACCAGTGGGAAGGGGATAGTATCAGATTTGTGGTTTCTACCCTTTGCTGTTTCCTACATGGGGAATATAATCACATAGGGTGAACCCCGTACCTAGTTTCCAGCATTTTCCAGGAGTTTTCAAACTTTGCTCTGGGCCCCAAATCGGCCATTTTTAACATCTCATATCTCTGGTGGAGAAGCTTCGAAAAATTTGAAATTCACAGCAAATAATGCTCTATTCTAGAGTAACTTGGAGTTAAAATTACAACTTTGATATTCAAGTAATAGCAAATTTGTGGGCACTTTAAATTTTACAGATTTTGCAGAAAATTGTTCGTTTCTCATTCAAGACGAGATTCAAAGTTTCCATTGGGTAAACCAACAGGCTACACTTCACCCTTTTGTGTATTACTACAAGGCGGACACTATAAGAAAATGCCCAAGCTTGTGTATAATCAGTGATCATCTATGATGTTGCTGTAGCCTTATTACTGCTGTCGTTGAATTGAGTAGGATAGGCAACAAGTGATGTAGTAATTGTGCACAGCTCGATGTGCATGGCACAGGCATCAAATAATATTACTGTACAATATGCTATGGGTTTATTATCCACACATGTGACCCAGTAATATTGACATTTGAGGTGATGTAACTTATTAAACTAACATATTTCTTATTGAGTGGAACATGAGATCTGTCATTACACAGTACAAAAATGTTTAGCAATTTAGTCTTAAATCATTGTTTTACTTTCTGAATCTGTTATATAATCATGCCTACAAATTCTGTAAATGTTTGGTTGACCAATACATGAAATAAACAAAGCTTTCACTATTTGTAAAGATGGTGTATGTTCCCCATAACCAACTCCATGGAGCAGTGTCCTTCTCGAGAAGTTAAACGCTGCTCAGCTACTCAAGAAATGCCCCACATTTATGGAACCCAAAGGCTCCCACTGGTTCCTGTCCTCACCATAACAAAAAGGTGAAAACCAATTTGAAATATATGGAAATCACCCCTTGCACTTATGTCCTCTGACAAACATGCCATTACAATTAAGAGCCAAGAAACACTCTCATAAGAGCATGAACCTCAGAGTTCCTTTCAAGGCAGAAGCCAGGAAGGGTGATAGTGGGAGGTATTCATTACAAACAAATATAGGATCAGTACAGAAATATAATTGTTTCTCAAAAAGTTCATATTTTTCTTACACAGACTGTTCTTTATTCTTTTGTAAAATATTAAATGTTCTGTAATGCATCTTTGGGAAGTATGCCTCAAGTATTATTGGAGGTGAGACTGCTGCCACTACTGGCCTATTGTACTTGCCCCAGATGATGGATGATGCTGATTGTGGAGCAATTGGTGGAATGAAGATTGGCAGAGGAAACCGAATACTCAGATAAAACCTGCTCCTGCACCACTTTGTCCACCATAAATCTCGCATGACCACATCTAGGCTGGAAACTGGGCTGCCATAGTGGGTAGCCAGCGACTAACCACTTTACCTATGTTGCAGCCTTTGCCTCAAGTAAATTTACATATTCACACTTTTCTAATTAATTTTTTTATTTAAATTCAGCATCTTTTAAAAGAACATGAACAAACACAAATGAATTTAATTCTAAATCAAAATAAAGGATACAAAATTTCTTGTGTTTATATCAAACATTATGCTTTGTTAATCTTCCAACAATATCATCATCTATCCTCTCTGGTCCTTGAACCTTCACATCTGTACTCTTATTATCTTTCTGGTTAGGCTGCCACAGTCCACTTCTAATGAATCTCCGGGCAGCAGCTACATCAATATGAGGCATAATGGTTCTACGATCTTCAACTTGCTTAGCCTTGGCAAAATACTCTCTCACTCTATCAATTTCTGACTTAACAGCATGTTTGGTGGGATCCACTCCTTGAGTACGCAGGTAAAGCCAAAATAATGAATTGATAGAATATGACAGAAGCAAATCATATTTTATACGATCATCTATATTGAGCTTTTCATATGCATCTTTCTCACACACAGTCTGTAGAAGTTCTCCAATTCTGTTTACACTGTCATGAAAGTTCTTAATCCTTGAAGTAAAATCAGTATCTGTAGAAAGTTCACCGAAGTCCATCCAACTGTCCTTGGACATTGTATTAAATTCTTTAAAAGTGTAGGTGTTACTTCATCCGTAATAACGAACCTAGAAAAGAAAATGCTGATTGGATATGGTAATACTGAACAATGGCAGGAAGAAAAGATTGCTCCTCCAAATAAATGTTACACTGGAGAAGGAGGGATCTGCATATAAATCAAATACATGAAATCCATTATTACTTACTTTAAGTCTATTTACATATATCTGTAACGTGTCAGCAACGCGTCAGTTCACTTCCGTGAAATTTCATCACTGACTATATTGATTCATATCGTTTCTGTGAACTTGACGGACGCATCCATCCAGCTTCACGTAACGGATACTGCACTGATACCACTACTACTACTTACAATACGGCATTGCGCCAGAGATGTGTGAATGCGTCCGTAAAGATCAAAGAAACGATATGAATCATCACTGACACTGATAGTGACAGTCGTGTTATCTAAACAAAACAGCCAAATAAGTGGAAATTATTTAAAAGGAGAGCTGCATTAGCGAAATCAGAAGAGAGAAAACCCCGGGGAAGTGTTCGTAAAAGTGGGTCAGACGACATCACAGAAAAAGTGCCAGGAAAAAGACACAGCACGTGGTTAAGTAGAAGAAAGCCGATTTGAGAGAAAACGGAAGTGACGTATAAAACAGAAACAACAACCACAGAGGGCGCACACTATACACCAACATGATACCTACACCAGGAAATCCAGAAACAGAAACATGTGACATCTGTCGGAAGGAAGTAAAAGACAACGACAACGCCATAGCGTGCGAATGCTGTGGCAGATGGCAGCACTGGGAATGCAGTGGACTAACCAAAGGCGAATTCGAGACGGTGAAAAGAAAAAACTGCAAGCTAACATGGCTGTGCAGCAAATGCAAAATGCAAATTACGCGAAAGCAAAATAGTGAAGAAGAACCCATCATAAAACTGGCAGAGAAAGTACAAGAAATGCTTAACTTCATGGAGAACGACCTTCAGAAAAAAATCCGAGAAGAGATAGTAAACACCCTACCCGCTGAACTGGAAAAGCTCAAAAACCCGGAACCAAGGACGGAAAATACCGGAGCCACAAATCCCCCAGCAAAGCCGCAGAGCAACCACAACCGCAACGAAGGGGAAGAAACACAAGATGAAAACCCACCAAAAAAATCATACAGAGACAGCGTCATAACGGAAACAAGAAGAAAAATAAATGCACCCCCACCTCCCAGGAGGGAAGCAACACTATATGGGACAAAAGAAGACGATGAAGAACTTCAAGCTGCAGTAAAAATGGCCTGGCTCTTTGTAGGCAGGCTCAGAGAAAACACAAACATAGACACAATCAAGAATTATATCAGAAAGAACGGGATAACAGACGGAGTTGAATGCGAAGAAATACAAACTAGAGGAAGAAGCAAAGCCTTCCGACTGGGGCTCCACTTCAATCGACTATCCGAAGTAGAAGCGCCAGAATTCTGGCCCAAAGGAGTGCGAGTCGAACGCTTCCGATTTCGCTCACGACCATTCCAAGGCACCGACCTCAACGCTTAAGGACGGCAATAATCAAGAAACGACCAACAGCAAAAGAACATTGGATCTACTCCTGTGGAATGTGGAAGGATTAAAGTCAATAATGCAAAACGCCCCGGATACAATAACACAAAATCATGACATTATAGTATTAACCGAAACCTTTCTAACAGAATACACAGCCATACCAGGATATTACACAACGCACAGTTATGCAGTCCAAAAACAAGAAGGAAGACCTAGCGGAGGAGTCTCATGTATTTATAACAACAAAATAGGGGAAAAAATAGCGGAGTATAAAGAAGACAACATGGTACACATAACAACAACATACCTAGAAATAATAGGTCTATATATTCCACCCCAAACCAACATAGAAGATGCAATAGAGAAGATAGCAAGTGCAGTCAGTAGACTAGACCACAAAAAACCAGCCATACTCGCAGGGGATATAAACTGTAGAATTGATAAACCCGACAAAAAAACCCAAGAGGTTACGAAGCTACTACAGGAAGAAGGATTCTGTCTAGCAAATAGAACAGATGTGATGACATACATAGCGCCGAATGGATGCAGCTGTATTGACCTCGTGTTCAAGAAAGGAAACGAGATAGAAATAGAACAACAAACAATAAAAACATCATCAACTTCACCACTAAGGAAACACCTACCGATAAGCACAAGATTCAAATATGGGGGCAAAGAACAGCAAATGAAAACAGAAACAAGCACCCTGAAAAAAACAAGAAGAATCCAAAAATACATATTGGGAAAGCAAGAGGACATCATGCAAATAATAGAACAAAACGAAATCGACGATGCCGCACGGAAGATGACTGAAATACTGCAGAAGGCTGCCCCAACAGCCAAAGAGAGGAAGGCCAAAATATGGTTCGATGCAGAATGTTACAATATGAGAAAAGCAACAATAAAGGCACTACACAGAGCAAGGCAAACTCAGAATAGCAACGAACTAAAAGAATATGCAGAAAAAAGAAAAAGATACAAAGCACTGATAAAAAGTAAGAAAACGGAACACATCGAAAATGAAGGGAAAATGATAGCCGAAGAAGCCGAGAAAGACCCGTTCGTGGCAACCAAAACAACCAAGAAACAAATGCCACAAGAAGTAAATATAAAGATATGGGAACAGCATTTCACCAAGATACTTAGCCAAAATACACCCACCAGCAGCCCCCAAACAGACGACGTCAGGGCATGTCAACCAATCTCACATGCAGAAGTATTAAAAGCTATAAAAAGAACACAAAACAAGAAAGCCGCAGGACCAGATGGAATATATTATGAACATATAAAAGAAGCAAAGGACATTATAGCAAAACCACTAACGGGACTATACAACAGATGCCTCGAAACTGGATCCATACCACAAATTTGGAGAAAATCCCTGATGAAAGTACTGTACAAGGGAAAAGGAGACCCAGAAGACCCGAACAACTACCGAGGGGTAGCGTTAGAAAACACAATGTTCAAGATACTGACCAAAATCCTAACTGACCGTTTAACAACAACAGTAGACTCACTTATCCCGGAAAATCAATTTGGGTTTCGGCCACAAAGATCAACGATACAAGCCATCACAGCACTACTAGAAGCAATTGAAGAAGCATTAAGACACCCACGAGGAAAATACCATGTAGTTTTCATAGATTATAGCAAGGCATTCGACCTACTCGACAGGAGTATAATCACAACAAAACTGAAGGAAATAGTAGGAGAAGAGAACACAACAACAAGACTAATAGGAGACATCCTCAAAAACAATAAAATCATAATAAAAGACACGGTGTCAGAATCCGAAGAAATAACCCAAACAAATGGCGTACTGCAAGGGGACCCCCTCAGCCCATTACTATTCAATATTACAACAGCAGACTTGGCCAAAACAATGGAAAAACACACAGGGGTACAATTAATTATGTATGCCGATGATATGACAATTGGAGGAAAAAATATTGAGGAGCTACAGGAAGCCTCCACTACACTGGAGAACTGGGCAAGACAAAACAAACTTCAAATAAATAAAAACAAAACCCAACTAATGACTTTCAGAAAAGGAGGAAGAAAAGGAAAAAATGATGAAATAAAATTTAATGGAGAACACATAAAATCAGTAAAACAATATAAATACCTCGGCTTAACACTGCAGTCTACATCTACAACATTCACAGCACACATAACAGAAAAATGCACAGCAGCCATCAAAGCTATATACACCATCCGAAACCTGCAACTATTATCGCTAGAAACAGCAATGAAAATATTCCATGCAAAAATTTGTCCCATACTACTATATGGCATAGAGATAACCTGGGAAAAACTATCCAAACAAAACCTGCGGAAAATGGAACAAGTGAAGGCAAGATACCTTAAACTAGCGCTAGGGCTTCCTAAGAACACACAATCCAGACTAACATACGAACTCTGCAAGGAAAATTTCCTATTAGAAGAACTCAGATATCAACTGCCAAGCACAAAAAACTCAGAGGAAGTTATCAAAGAAAGAAAACAAAAAAGAGAGGAAATATGGGAAGAGTTCTACAGCACTGATGCAATGACTGACAGAACCTGGACAGGACCCAACAGAAAATTACGACACACAATTACTAGGTTGGCAACACACAGATTCCACCACAAGATATGCAAGAACGAACGTTTCCACGAAGCAAATGACGCGTGTGTGTGTAAACACTGTGATAAAAAGTGCAGTAGATACCACATTACCATATGCAAAAACTTAACCACATCAATAACCGAATACAGTCGCGAATAGAAAACAATTACTCTATGCACATTGTGCGCATTCCCGTATTATATAGATTTCATGCAACTGACCGGACGCGGTACTGACACGTCACGGGTATGTGTATGTAAATAGACCTTTATGGAGCTGAGACCTTGAGAAACCAAATCTGCTTCTACTCAAGAATTTCCCAGCATTTTATGGAACCTGAAGGTTCATTACTGTGTTCACAAGAGTCCTCCACTGGTACCTATCCTGAGCTAGATCAATCCAATCCATACCATCCTATATCTCTAAGATCCATTCTAATATTGTCCACCCACCTACGCCTTTGTCTTCCCATTGGTCTCTTTTTCTTTTGGCTTTCCCACCAATATCCTATATGCATTCCTCTTCTCCCCCATTCGTACTACATGCCCTGCCTACCTCATCCTCCTTGACTTGATCATTCTAATGAAGTCCATTATAGAAGATAAAAATAATGTGTTGTCACGTGTAGGATGGTACCCGTGACGAAATGACGGGTTATAGTTTGGATGATTGGATTTATTAGCACTTTCGTTACACTCTTTCTCTTAAGTACATTTAAAGACAGTGCTATCGCTGATCTACACACACTTCATCATTCACCACTGTACACGCACTAGGATTCTCTGTCTTCTACCAGCTGTCTCCTAGCAACGGGTCTCCAGTCTCCACACAGAAACTGTCACTTCAGATTATTACAAATAGTACATACGAAATCTTACGATCACACTTTACCTCCTCACAGGCAGAACTCCTGTATTCTGTAGTCCTGCTTGCTTGCTTCTGCCGCTAGTTTCACTACTACTAGTTTTCGTCTGGACTGACCGTAGACATGTAGCTTCGAAACGGACGGCATTGGAAATATCGCGATCTACAATTCTGCTCAGTCAGTTAATGCAACTACTGCTCTTTTATGCTACAACACTTTCCACATCCAGGTTCTACGTACCTTAACTCCATTACATTAATTCGACCACATGAATAATTATCCACAGGCTATTCATTGCACGACTCACTGTGCGGGAGATTGATGTACATGATGTACATCGCAGGCCGTGTGTTTCGGCGTATGATCAGAGTGATCAGAGGGATCAGAGTGACCGAGAGTGCGGTTGTTGTGGGCAGGTGATATGTTGTGTACCGTACATTTATCTCTTACTCAAAAATGGTACTGTAAAAATTGTGAATAAGTGTACTCTTGAGCATGTGTAGGCAGCATTATAATGCGGTAAGAATTAATATTTATGTTATTTTTCACACATACGGATATTAAATTTTTGGACATAGTATGTCAGCCTGTCATCCCAGACTAAGCCACTTTGGCTTCTTATTCCAGATACGTTACATCATCATACTTTGATTATGTAAATGATGTATGCTGCTTACTGACCAGGCAAATGCAGTAACATAAACGCAGATAACATCATAGAAACTTGTAGATGAGAACATTAAGTCAGATCTTTTAACTACACAAGGGTGTGTCTGGTAAGTCATTTTGGGGCCAAACTTCAGTACCAGACAGATGAAAACGATACGGCATTCTGCTTTCCGGTGTGTAAATCTAATGCTCGTGTTATTTTGACATGATTTTGATAATTTTTACGAAAATTCTTTGAGATTCTTTGGCTTAATTAAAGACAGTATGGTCTTCATTCCTTCAAGACAAAGCTCATCTTACCTGTAAAAATAAATACTAAACCATGACTATTGATAGTTCATCATCCAAGAACTTAAAGTAACATTGTTTCATTATATTATTAGTAAATGAAACTCAGCTTTCACATTGTCCACTAACTGTTGTATGGCTTTATACTAAATAAGAAAGCTGTGCAAAGATATGACATATCTTTTTTCATATACTCTTGACATGTCACACACAGCCTTCTGCTGTCCTAAAATGGTCCACTGTGTTTAGAATATTTAGCCTGCAAAATATTGTTTGAGTACATTGCCACTATAGATGCTTAAAATTTAATCTAACCAGTCAAGCCATTTTCAGCATTTTGGCTGCTGTAGGGCATACTCTTATAATATTGAAGATGTCACCAGTGCAGTTTTATTTAGAGAGAAGGTCTCCATAAATCAGTGAAATTTAATAAAGATCTTCATGACCGCTTAAAAAAATCACTATTTTGTGTTAAAATTTTCTTGGGCAATCAGCTGTGTCAATGTTGAGGTAAAAACCAGTGTTTCATAGTAGATTCTAAAGTGTTCTGATGATGGGGTATAATACAATATCCTGGGAGCTAGAAAACACAACGTTTCGTCACTGAACAACCCCCATCAGAGCCAGAGTTACTTTATGACTGGCGGTGTACCGCATATCAGTTCGACACGCCCTAGAGACTGACAACCAGTAATTTTATTTTCCATCAGAATACTTCCGGTTATAGTCCTTGTGTAACATCTTTTTGCCTGTCGTTTAGAATTACTGTTGGTCCTTGCCAGTGCAGTCATTCTCGGGTCCTAGTCTCGCAGGACTAATGACCAAATTTTACTGTCTCAGCTTTGAGATTTATAGGTCCCCATATTTATATGAACAGGTTGGCCCAGTTATACCCCTAGACACTGGGTTCTAGGACAGCCCCTGTCAGTTCAGAGTTCAGAGTCACTTTACGACTGGCGGTTTACCGCCAATCAGTTCATCTTGGCACCAAGGCCCTTGAGACTCATGGTCAGATTTTATTTTTCTTCAATTGAACACTTGCAGTCATAGTCCTTATGTAACATCCCCTCTGATGAGAGGATGGATCCCTCATTTACAAATTTCTGCTGGCCCTCACCAGCATATTCATTCTCAGGTTTGAGTCCCGTAGGACTCGTGACTACATTTTACTGTCTTGGGCAACTCCTGAGTTGAATTGAGTTTTACGTTATGACCGACAGTCAGTCAGCCAGTTTGTCTTGGAATAAAGCACCCATCTGCAGCTCATGACCAGGTTTTTATTACTGTAAGACATTTGAGGGTTGATGTGGGGCGCTCTCTCTGATGAGAGGATGGGCCTGCCGTTTACAGTTGCTGCTGGCCTTCGCCAGCGAAGTCATTCTTGGGTTCAAGTCCCATGGGACTCGCAACCATATTTTATTGATTCAGTTTCAAGACTCGCCTCCTATGACTTGCAGGGCTACCATGGAGGTATTCAACCCTGCCTCCAAACCGGTCAGATTCACTACAGTTATTTAATTACCTGAGACCAGACCATGCTCCAGTGCATAGAAAAAATGGAAAATATGTGAAGACATGTAGTGCCTACCATTAGTGCCATCTGTGGAATAAAACCTGAGCACTCAAGACAAACTATCGAAACCCATGAAGAATCTCTCATATCATACAAATCTTCTCTGTGTGTTGGTAACCTCATTGCTTATGGGGGGAACGCAGATGGAAGAAATGCCCAAACTGGGATGGCTGATTGGATTGGTTAAGCATGCCATATTGGCTGACTCCTTGTATTTTCTATACCTGCTGTTACTTTCAATTTCCAAAATTCTATCTTCATCCCAATGTTGGGCTAACTTTGATTTTTCTAAAAGACCATCTTTGAGATTGTACCTATGTTCACGGAGTCACACAGCTAGAGGTCTGCCTCTTTCGCCAATATAGCTTCTGCCACATTCACAGGATATACTGTGAATGCACTGTGCTGTCTGTAGCAGATCTTTTTCTGGCTTCGTTTCATGAGTGAACTCCTAAGAGTGTGTTCAGCTTTGAAGATAATCCTGATGTTACACCGCTGTCCAGAAATTATCCAACTTAATTTTTTTCTGCTGTAAGTAATGAAAATTTCGAGACAGCCAACCCCAGTCACAATACAGATAGACCAAAAACAACTGGAGAATGTGAAATGTTTTAAATATTAGGGTAGCTTGTTAACAGATGATTGAAGGTGTACGTGTGAAATTAAATCTAGGATTGCCATGGCAAAAGCTGCATTTAGCAAGAAGAAGAATCTTTTTACCAGCAAATTGGACTTAAATTTGAGAAACTAGTGAAATGCTACATTTGGAGCATTGCTTTGTATGGGGCTGAAACTTGGACACTTCAGACAGTAGATCAGAAACACCTGGAAAGCTTTGAAATGTGGTGTTGGAGAAGGATGGAGAAGATCAGTTGGACCGATTATGTGAGAAATGAAGAAGTGTTATTTAGAATCAGTGAGCAGAGGAATATCCTACACGAAATAAGAAAACAGAAGTCTAATTCGATAGGTCATATCTTACGCGGTAACTGCCTTCTAAAAGAAGTTATTGAAGGAAAGATAGAGGGGTGGATAGAAGTGACCAGAAGACATAAGAAGATGCTGGATGACCTTGGGGACAGAAGAATGATATTTTCATTTGAAGGAGAAAGCTCTAGATCGCATCAAGTTGGGGAACTGTTTTGGAAGAGACTGTGGACCTGTCGTCTTGACAGATTACTGATGAATGAATGAAGTAATGGCCAAAGGGGTGGGGAAACTGAGCATAATAGTAGAAGGGACTTTCATGCCCACGAATGATTTTTTGCTGACTCACAACCCTGCCGGATGAGTCTGTGGCTGCGAGATAGCAAAGTGGTGTAACATGTGTTCATCGCATTCTTGTTTCGCTCAAGATGACAGAACGCTTGGAGCAGCGATACTGCATCAAGTGTTGTCAGAAACTTTGGAATACCCAAGCAGAAACAATCCACAAAATTCAGCAGGCTTTTGGCAATGATGCAATGGGGGTCACTCAAATTAAAGAGTGGTTCAGCCTCTTTAAAGATGGCCATATGTCAGCAGACAGTTACCAGTATTCCGAGACACCATCAATGAGCTGAAATGCTGATGTCATTGAAAAAGTGTGGACATTGATCATGGAGGACCATTGTTTGACCATCTGGGAAGTTGCTAATGAGGTTGGGATCAGCAGAGGTTCCACAAACACAACTTTAACTGAGGATTTGGGCATGGGAAGAGTGGTGGCAAAATTTTTGTCCAAGCTGCTTTCGCTGGAGCAGCAACAACTCTGCCTTGAGGTCACGCAGGATATGTTGGAGTGCACCAACAGGGATCCTGAGTTCCTGAAGACTGTGATCACTGGTGATGAGTCATGGGTGTATGGATATGATCCGGAAACCAAGGTCCAGGCATCACAATGGAAGCATCCAACATCCCCGAGGCCCAAAAGAGCGTATTTTTGATTACCGGGGTGTTGTGCATCATGAGTACGCACCAGTAGACCAAACTGTCAATAAAGAGTACTACCAAGAAGTCCTCCGCTATCTTCATGATGCAGTTTGGCACAAGAGACCAGAGCTGTGGGACGCACGCAACTGGCAGCTGCATCATGACAATGCACCAGCTCATTCATCACACCTGATCCAGGGTTTCCTGTCCAAGCACGGCATTCCGCAGGTTTGCCAAGCTCCCTACTCTCCTGACATGGCTCCTTGTGATTTCTGGCTTTTCCCAAGATTGAAGACACTGCTAAAAGGCTCTTGTTCTGACAGCCGCGAGGACATCATACAGAACACGACAGCACAGCTGCACACCATTTCAAAATAAGCCTTCCCGAATTGCTTCCAGTGATGGAAGGACCGCTGGGCTAAGTGCGTGGAGTCACAGTGGGCCTACTTTGAAGGGGATTAGGTATTGTAACCACCCAGATACAGAACTTTGTTTTCCCGGCCCAAGGTCAGATACTTTTTGGACAGAGTAGTATATTGATTCCCTGTACGTTTGACTGTCTCTGAAACACCCTTCACACATGGGATATACACAGCCCAGAGGCTTTTGGTCTTTATTCAGATGACTGCTATGCTTGGAATTAATGACCGAGTCATTGAAACCCTGGGGATAACCACAGAGCTGGAGATCACATTTCAGGCTGCATATTTCATTAACTAGATCTTGTCGTTCTTGGCATATGGTGGAAGCTCTATTGTGGAGGCTCTAAATCAAACCTCTTTTTACATGCGGCAGATGGTTAGAGTTGAAGTTGAGATATCAGCCAGTATCTATGAGTTTCCTGTAGACTTTGGTGGCTAGGGTTGTCTCTTTTCTGATGACCAGAACATCCAGAAAGGCAATCTGGGTATCTTCTTTAATCTATGATGACACTTTATGAAACAGCCTGTATGTAGTACATGCATGTATACTGTGTCCATCTTTACGTAGAAGGAAAACATATTTGCTCTACCTTATTCCTTATCACATCATTTAAGCAGATGACACAGGTTATTTATACAAGAAGGGACTGCATATATTTTAGAAATGTGGTCCTTGATTGTGTCACATGAATGCATACTAAAGAGGCTCAAGTGTATGATGACGCTGGCCAGTTTCAAAACTGTGATGATTATCCAGTGTCTGACGTTAAGAAATCTTTCATGGGCTCTTGACTTAAGTACCAGATGCTCCTTCTCACTAACACAAAGCGATGGACATGATCCAGAACCAGCTTTAAATCTGATCATGTTCTTTTGAAATCATGCTTCCTATACAATTGCTGAGGCAGAGCAGTTAGAGGGTGAATTTGACCACTCACATGTAATACATTATCTTGACTGCATGCCACCATGCTTTTTATGCATCCTGTTTGGTTGCGGATTACAACACCCGCAACCAAACAGGGAACACGCAACACGAGACACGATATACCCTGAGAATAAGAGGAATGACTCCCATAGTGGTGAAACTATGCGTGGTGTTAGAATTGGGACAGATAAGATAAATAATCTTAACAAGTTTTTAGTATATATATTTATTATAATCGACGAACATTTTTAAATACTTCTTAAATTTTACAATGACGTAATGGCAAGCAATGAAATAGATTGACGTAAATAGAGCACCTGATGATGGCACTGTAGTGCCGAAACATGTTGTGAAGTAACAAGTAAAATTGAGTGCACTAAAAGACGGACATTGCTTACATATAATGGACGAAGATAGTGCAACAGGACGCTAAAATACAACATTATATGGATTTGATTAGACTGGCTGCAAACAATACTCTGTCATTTCAGGTACTGTGTGTGAGTTGTGTGCAAACAGGTAATGTCTGTGGAAAATCTGCACAAAGATTGCACTCCAAGTGTGGGTTCTGTAGTCATGGATTCCACTGATGTGTCTGGTTCAATTAACGATGTATCTGCATCTTCTGAGTCTTCGAAACAACCTATGGCCTTCATGATACATTTTTCTGATAACAAAGATATTGCTTTGCCAAAACTACAAGAGAATTTCAGCAAATATGCTGTAAGACACAAAAGGATCCCATCATTACCAAATGTTGAAGATAGCAAGGTGACAATCACTGTCCTCAAGTATTTTATGTAGAATCAAGTTGGTACCCAGGTTAAAGTTGATGAACCTTTATTCATCCTTGTAAAGAGTAGTTAGCTAACTTAATCTAACAGTTTTGAATTATAATATTGGTAGAGCTGTAAGCATTATTTTTATTAATATGTTAACAAGTTTAGCTCTTGTTCTGAACAGCAGCTGGCGCTCCATGTCATTTCTAAACCAGATGTAGATTACAAACTGGAGAAGAAACTGATATTATAACTTTTTAATATAGGGAAGTCTAATTCACTGTGGCAGCACATCCATATGTTAGCCCTGCCCATTTGTTATCATGTGGGAAAAATGGGAGAAATTTAATTTCTGAAAATATGGGCTCTTATACGCTGTGTTGCTAGGAGCATATGTATTTAAGCAGGAATATATTTTGCTCTAATTTGATCTACACAGATTACATAAAAAAGATGATCTGTCACTATCATTTATGTATATGATATTTCTTCAAAAGTAGAGGGTTCAAGTACATTTTCTGTGATAAAATTCCCTTGATTAGAACTTATATCCATTCAAAATGAAAAATCAGGTATGTCAATAAAAAATAATTTATGCCTCTGCAGTAGTCAGACATGCACTTTTCCTCATGTATGGTTTTGAACTTTGAACTAAATTTCATACTTTTCATACATTTCATGCACTTGTTTGAGATTCTCACAGTGGTTGTTATGAAGAGTTCTATCTTCTGAGACAGAATGCTATGTAGTCCATTTGAAAGTCAGCTGACTTTTTATAGGAGGAGGGTCAAAGAATAATCCAAGCAAGAAAATAGCATTAAGCGGTAGCAAGCAAAGCATGCTGCCTGCCTCACGTTGGTTTCTTGCTTAGCTTGTTCTTTGACCCTGAAAATGGAGGAGACATGTTCCTCCAAAACATTGATTGACTTTCAGTGGACTACACACCATTATAGAACTCAAACATTTTTAAAGTTTTTCAAATATCAAAATATTCTTTTGTGTTAATTTTGATCCTGAAGCAAAGTCTTATTTCTTGAAAGGATTGTAAATTAGAGAATATAAACAAGGGGAGAACTTTTATCTATGCTGACTCTCAGAGAGGACAGGAAAAAAAAAAAGAAGGGTCAGAAATTCAGTCATGGTCCATACTAGCTTATATGCTTTCAAAGTATGACTTTGGCTTCTATTTTACTAGAAGTTCAAATATTAAATTTTGTCAGAATCTCAGTATAACAAGAGCATTTATCTTGAGGCTAAATTAGGAGTTTCACAATACAAGGGAGTCCAGACTGTTTACTATGGGCCAAAATTACATTTCTTTGGTAAAGTTCCATGAGGACCAATAATATAAAATTTCTTTGAAAATATGTTCAGCCAGAGTAGGGGTTTTCATGTGCAGAGACTGGGCTTCTATTAGTACACAATGCAAGAAAGGTATTAGAACAGTCATTATTTTTCTCTGACCAATTCAATAAACCTCCAAGGAAGACACATGAGAGAGGGTTCAGTTTCAAAATAAAACTGAGTTGGGCCCTGGAAATGAATATTTTGTGGGACACTTAGGAAAGTGCATGCCACTGTAGTGGAATTTCACCAGAGAAACAACAAAGTACAGGCTTGTCACTGGAGGAGCGCCAGGTGCAGTTTTGATCAGTATTGTTTCCCTTACAGAATGAGTAAGGCTTAGGTTTGACTTTTTGTTTATTGTGCTAGAAAGCAAAAGGTGAAGCAAATGCTGTGCAAGCTGTAGGTCTCTCTCCCTTGCCTATGAGAGGTGCCCGACGGGGTGGCTACCACTCAGAGGGCTACTTTTCCAGTGATCAGGAAGAGGATTTAAGGGGCAGAAGTGACTTCTTTCTTAAGAAGTTCAAGAATCTTGAGAAAGGTAAATTCCAGTTTTCACAGTTGTCATGCTGTCTTCCTGTGTCCAGGTGACAACAAAATATTTGGGGAAGTGTCAGCCATGAAACTGGATTTAAACAAAATCTCGCAATTGTGGCTGTTCCCAGTGCCTGAGCATACTCTCTCTGAGAATGAGAGTGCCCAGACCTTGGTGCTGAGTACTGTTTAAACATGTTGGTCTTTGTTTCTGGAGACCAAATATCCAAGAATGGGAAGTTCCATATTAATATGGAATGGCATGATATTTCAAAGAGGGCTTTGGAAATGATTTATATTTCATAGTTAGTTCTGAAAAATGCTGAATTCTACAAGTCTGCAAGATTTGTCAGTTTGTTATGTAAAATTTCATGACACTTGCAAGAGAGACATCTGCTCTTAAAAAAAGAATACTTTCCATGATTGTGCCATGGAAAATCAGTCTTTGATATTGTCTAGGTAAGATCATAATGTGACTGACGTAGAGTTTGCCTCATTGGCAGGGAAGAAAATTGAGCTATGAAGAGCCTGAAAATTGAAGAGAGCAGAAGAAACTTACCCAGTCTCTGTTGTTGAATGCAGCACATCACAGTCTTTTAGGAGGTCTAGCTTTAGTTGTGGGAGAACTGACAAGGATGTACACATTGCCATTTTGTTCTTATGCACACAGCTGTTCACATTTTTGGAAAGATAAAGTAGGCACATCTTTATGAAAATTCTCTTTCTTAGTAATTTGGTGACAGCTGAGCAATAACCACGTGTTTTACCCAGAAAAAGCCATTGGCATTCCCTTTAGCCCTGAGAAATTGTGAGGTGGTAGCTTATAATAGGGGGATGAAGTTACACCAGAGTCTAATCAGTCAGTACTAGATGGAGGTTCTCCTTTTGCATTGGCCACTGAATACACAGCATACGAGGGGGGACCCAAAAATAACCGGAACCGACCTGTTGCGCGCGCATGCTTTGTAGTTACGAGTTGTGCTGCTAGGTGGTATTAGCTGGGGGTCTCCCGCGACTGTTAGTGAGTTGGCGTCAGTGTGAGTTAAGTGGGATGTCTGTGGTGCTCTGTTGTGTGCGTTCCTGTTTCAACCCTTTGGCGTTTAGTGAGATGGCCGACCAGAAGGAACAAAGAGTGTGCGTGAAATTTTGCTCTCTGTTAGGGAAAACTGCAGCCAAGACTGTTGGGATGCTTTGGCAAGCCTTTAATGATGATGCTTTGGGGAAATCACAGGTCTACGAGTGGTTTTCCCGTTTCAAATCTGGCAACATGTCAACAGAAGACATGCCACGCCCCGGGCGTCCTTCGACAGGAAGAAATGACGAAAACATTGCCAAAATCAAACGTGCAATTGATGAAGATCGTCGAAAGACCATTGACCAACTTTCTGAGGAAACGAACATCTCATGGAGCACGGTCCAGCGAATTTTAACCGAAGGTTTGCACATGAGAC